CGCCGGGGGGACCGGCCCTGCCGGCGCCGGGCGGGGGCGCACCGCCCCTGCCGGGACCGCCTGGCGCCGGTCCGCCTCGGCCCCTCATCGGACCGGGTCCGCCCATCGGCGCCGCCCTTCCAGCTGTTGGGAACCGCACACGCACACGCACACACACGTCAATACAACACCGCCGCACACACGACATGACACGACGCGACGCGACACGTGCGGCACACACTTACCTCCGGGGGGGAGCGGGGCGAGGGCCGCCGGAGGGGCCGGGCGCGGGCGCAGCGGCGCGCGGGATGAGTTCGACGTAGGACGCGGGGAAGACGCCGCGCTGGCCGTTGAGTTCGCCCTCCCACCAGTCCGGGTTGCTCTTGTTGATCACCGTCACCACGGCGCCCTCGTTGAAGGTCAGCTCGTCCGGGTTCTCCGCCGCAAAGTCATACAGCGCACGCGCCTGCTCGGGTCCTGTGGTGTGATGTGATGACGTCAGCAACCACCTTAGGCTGATCTCACGAGTGGTGGGGCGTACCAGGCGCGGGCGCGGCGGCGGGGGGACCCGAAGGCGAGGGACGGCCGCCGAACGGGGACGGGCCGCCGCCGCCACCGCCGGGCGAGGGCCGGGGCGAAACGGCGCCGCTGGGCGAGGGTCCGCCTCTGCCCCTTCCGCCGCCGCCGCCGCCTCCCTTGGCGCCGAGGATCTGGTCCTTGTAGGACTGCTCGGCCACCGTGAACGACGCGCCGCCCGACGTCTCCTGCGGCGCCTGGATGTTGGGCGCTGTTTCAAACAGAAATTGAAGTTGAAATTGTTTTAGTTTTTAGTTTTGTTTTAGAAATGAAAAAATTAAAAAAAAGAAAGGTTTTGAGGGGGAGTACCGGAGGAGGGGGGAAGGCCGGGCGCGACGGAGACCTTGGTGCCCTTGACCTTGCCGTCGCCGCCCTGCGGGTCGCGGATGAACTTGACCACGCACGTCTTGCCGCCCTTGAGCGTCACGTTGAACGTGTCGGCGAACTGGATGCGGACGGACGGGTTGTGCTTGAGGAGGACGCCGATGAGCTCGGTCTTCCTGCGGCACTCGAGCAGGTTGCTGTGCTCCCCGTTCACGCTGATCAGCATGAAGTTGTCCTGCAGCGGGCCTGCGCGTTGGAAAGCAGAAAAGACACACGCGTCAGCACACGACACACACGCACACACACGCACACACACACACACCACACACACACACACACACACACACACACACACAGCAACACACGACGAAGCGTACTGAGGGTGATGGAGCCGATCTTGTTGAAGTCGATGCGGCGCTTGAGGACGTAGAGGAAGGGCTTGACCTTCTTCTCGATCTTGTCCTTGTTGGGGTCGATGGCCACCAGGAACATGGCGTTGGAGGTGAGCACCATGATGCGCCGCTCCACCTTCGAGCCCCAGAAGCTCTTGTCCAGGTTGTTGCACAGGTCCGCGAACAGCACCTTCTCCGTACCTGCGCACGACCACCAATCACCAATCAATCCATCCATCAATCATTTCATTCACATTCAATCCACCAATGAATCAGCGCGATACATGATAATTGGTTGGTTGCAACAAGTGTTGTGCAACGACCTGAATTGTGGATCGACTTAAGGAGAAAAATGGGAAAGGAGGTGTACCCTTGTCGCCGATGCAGTCCTTGAGCTTGAAGTTCTGGCGGTAGTTGATGTAGTCGGTCTTGAACGGACGCTCGAGCGACAGGCGACGACGCTCCTTCTTGTTGACAAGCGCGTCATTGCCGCCCTTCTTGACCTCGTAGTAGTACCTACACGAGTTACAATATAAATTAATAAATAAATACATGCGCATGGCATCTCAGGAAGCTGAGGAATGCGACAGGAATGTGTGAGAGTGCGCGCGTACTTCCTCATGGCTGTCTTGCGGAGGAATCTCTGGATCTTGTTGGCGTAGGAGAACACGGTGCGGTCGCGCAGCTCCTCGAGCGAGAACACGCTCTCGGGCTGGCGGATGAAGATCTTGGTCTTACCCTTCTGGTACTCCTTGCCCAGGGACATGCCCACGTGGTTCAGGATCGCCTCAGCGCCTGCATGTGCGTGTGCGTGTGCGTGTGCGGTGGTAAGCAGAGGAATGCAACACACGGTATGTGTGGAATGTCAAGGAATGCGCGAGGCGTACCGGAGACCATGTCGCCGTTCCAGCCGGACCAGGTCTTGGGGCACACGACGCGGTAGCGGTAGAAGAACTTGTCGTAGACCTGACGGTAGGCGTAACCGGCGCGACGGATGCGCACGTTCTCGAGCAGACCCAGGTACTTGACTTGATGGAGCACCAGCGAGTTGTTGAAGTCGTTGGCCGCCTTCTTTTCGTTGGGCTTGATGCAACGGATGTAGTGCGGGGTGCACTTGGACAGGGTGGCCACCAGAATGTTGATCGACTCCTTGATCTTGAAGCCGGCGGTGGTGGGCTTCTTCTTGGAAGTGGCGACCTCCTTGGCCTCGGGGAAGAGACCCTACAAAAAGAAAAGGGAATGAAATTAGAAAAGAAATTAAGAACTATATTCATATCTTTTGATTGGGAAATAAAAATATACATAAAAAAGGAAGGCGACACGTACGGCGAAGAAGGTGGAAGAGGTGCACTCGGCGAGACCGATGAGATCCTTGAAGAGCAGATCCTTGTTCTTGTCGCAGAAGCCGTCGACGTTGTAGACCACCTGTGGAATCGCAGCGAGCACGGTCAGAAGTGTTCAATCAATGGTTGATAAAATGATATTTTTTGAGGTTAGACGCACGTCGCCGGCGTAGTGCTTGATGACGAACTCGTCAGGCTGGGACGTGGCCGCCAAGTGGGCGTGGGTCGGGAAGGCGCCCAGGAGCTTCTCGCTGTGTGACATGGCAGCAACAATCAACAACGGCCACACAATACAACTCTTAAAAAAAAAGACGTACCGGAACTTGTCGTCAGTGCCCTTGGGGAAGTTGCACACGTCGTCGAGGATGGTCATCAGACCCGGAGGACGCTACATGTTGTTGTTGTTGTGTGTTGGTCGGTTAGATATGTGGTGCAGCGGCGAATGTATTCGTAATTCTGTGGCAGTACCTTCTCCTCGATGAGATCGCAGCAAATCTTGTTGTTGAAGTAGTCGATGTTCTCCCACTGGATGCCCTCGGCGCCGTACTCCTCCTGCTCGGCCTTGAGCGTGAGCTGGATGAAGATCTGCTGCAGCTTCTCGTTCACGAAGTTGATGCACAGCTGCTCGAATCCGTTTTTCTGTTTGTTTTCGGTTGTGTGTGAGGCGCAAGCAACGATTAACCAGCGAATCGAAACACGACATGACACGACACACGACACGCAGCGAGGATGCAACGTACACCGAAGATCTCAAAACCGTAGATGTCGAGAATACCGGTGGTGAGGGCCTCGGGGTCGTCGATGTACATGGCGTCGTTGACTCTCTGGATGATGTAGTCGAACATGCGCGAGTAGAGGGCCTTCGACAGGGCGTCCCTCGAGTAGATGGCCTGTGGGTGGTGCATTCACCAGATTTGGCCAACAAGGGTCAGGAATGTGTGTGATGTGTGTGCTGTGGTCGGTTGCATAGGAATGTGAGCAATGACGTACGCCGAGGGGGTCCTGCGGGCAGGAGTAGACGGACGAGCGGCCGCGGCCCTGCTCGCCGGTGGTGATGGTGCGGTACAGCAGGGCCTGCTCCACGGCCACCGGCTCGGTCCTCATGAGATAGGCCAGCATCTCCACAACTGCAATCCCATTGGTCGGTTTTGTTGTTAGTAAGCCGCCGCGTTGCACAGTAGTCTAATAAATAAATAAATAATGGTATATACATACCCTGCCTGTCGGCGATGGTGGAGCCGCCCTTGCCGTCGTCCACGAACTGGACGTTGCCCAGGTAGAGGATGGCCGTCACGAGACGGAAGATCTCGTGCTGCTCCTCCGCCGTGAATCCGATCACCTTCATCGCGTTCTACAAATGTTGCGGAAAAGGGAGAAACCAGAAAAGTGAGCAAATGGCCGCTACAAAACAATAACAATAACAATAACAATTTAAAAAAAAAAATAACGTACCCAGGTGTCTTGGAATTCCTGGTTGTCGTCCATGCCGTCGACGGTGTAGGTCTTGCCCTGGTTGAGGTAGAAATAGTAGTCCGGGGTCTGCAACCCGAATTCCTCTGCGGGTTTGGGTGGGGTCAACGTGAGTCAATGTCTATTCATTTCTTCATTAAGAAAAAGAGAAAATAGAAAATAAAATGGTGGAACGTACGCCTCAGGTCGGCGGGCGCGCCGGCCAGGAGCTGGTAGAAGATGTGGAAGTTCCTCTCGCCATTCGTCTGGTACACGACGCGCGACTGGACATTCGGGCCAGACAAAAAAGTGAGAAGGCGTGTTTTGTTTCATGCGTGGTGCTGTGTGTCGTGTCGTGTGCCGTGCGAACAAACCTTCTCGAGCAGGTAGTTGGAGATACGGCCGCCCACGGGGTCGCCCTTCAAGTCGAACTGGATCTCCATGTACTTACCCTGTACGCATCGCACGCAGGTTGTGGTTGGTTTGTTTGTTTGTTGTCGACCGCCCACAAAACACGAAAAGATGAGTGCGTGGTTCGTAAGGTGACCAACGTTGGGTTGTGTGGGAGCGAGCAGTTCGTACGAAGCGAGAGGAGTTGTTGTTCCTGATGGTCTTGGCGTTACCGAAGGCCTCGAGCAGCGGGTTGGACTCGAGGATGACGTCCTTCACGCGCATCACGTCGCCCGTGGCACCCGAAACGGCGGCGATGTACTGCATGATCTTCTTCGACGCCTCGGTCTTACCGGCTCCCGACTCGCCACTGCGCGCCATTTGACACTCGTGTCAGCCGCGTGTGCGATGGTGCGCGTGCGGTGTGTGCGGTAATGCGTGTGCGGTGGTCGTACGAAATGATGACGCATTGGTCCTCGCTCTCGGAGAGCATGGTGCGGTACATGTCGTCGGCCAGGGCGTAGACGTGCGGGGGCAGCTCATAACGGTACTTGCCGCGGTAGTCCTTCAACGTACTGCACAGTCCGCCCAATCGCAAGGCCACGAAGTATTATTTATGTACTAATTTATTTATAACTATTATTGAAAAAATAGCGCGGTACCGTTCTGTGTAGAGGTTGTTGATTTGTTTGTAGGGGTTGACCGAGATGAGCACGTGACCGATGTACGTCTGCGCGGAGCAATATTAATTGAATAAATATTAATTGGTTCCAATAAATATAGAAAAAATAATAACAATCAATCGATCACATTTATTCCTTTATTTTCTGAAAAAAAAATAGTTGCGAGAGAGAACTCCAACGTACGTAGATGAGGTCGGCGGCGAAGCGCTTCTTGAGGTTGTCGTTGATGGCGTCGTTGGAGATGCTCGTCAACATCACCATGTCGTCGACGCCATGCTTGCTCGTATACGCCTGCAGGCAGACGAGTTATTACAACGATCGTAAGTGCCAAGCGTTCCATTTAGTTGAACCGGGGGGGGGGTGAATCGAGGAGAGATGGAGGCGCAGTATCGATGAATCGTTTGAATTAAAAGGACAAAGGCGCATCGGCCCAAATTCGCAAGCGACAAATCGAAAGTGTGGGCCAAGGGCGTACCATGGCGCTAGATGGAGGGAATTAGACCGTAATAGAAGAAGAAAAAGGGAAGACGCAGGCCTGTGGCTTTCTGCGTGCTGCGTGTGTTCGGTCTCACTGCGGGGCAGTCTCCTCTGCTTGCTCTCTCTTCGCTCGCTGGTGATCAACCAAAACTCAGCGGTCGTTGGTGGTTGCCCTTCGTCGCTCCTTTTGAGACACTGCGCGAAATTAATTCCTCGTCCTGGGATAAATCCTCCGACCAAAAGAGGAAAGGAAAATAAACGGAAATATTGATTGTTTAGCGGAAAATTGTTCGTTGCGAAAAAGGAGCTGTTGCTGGCCGAAGTGAGAAACAACAAAGTACCAACACACAACACACAACGAAAGGATGCAAGCCGACTTCCCCTTTTCGCTGGATAAGCTTGGCACGCCCAGCCCTGGTTCGAGCAACTCCCTCCCCATTTGCGATTTGTTGTTTTATCATTGTTCGTTTTATTTGTGTTACTTGTGAGGGTTAATCGATTGTCGGCCCCCATAGGAAAGCGAGGGGTGGTGCTACTCGCATGCGGTTCGTTCTCGCCCATCACCAACATGCACCTCCGTATTTTTGGTACGCTACACGCCCGCAAAGCACACTCCAACGCGCGTAGTAGAAGTCCGTGTGCCTGGCAAGTACTTGGCTGCGACTTGTTCAGAAAACCTAAGACGTGACCCCCCCCCCAACCAACCAACTACGCGTGCCATTGCAGAGGACGCCCGCACCTGGTTCCAGATTCGCGACTTGGGTCTGGAGGTGGTGGGCGGTTATCTCTCGCCCGTCACCGACGCCTACAAGAAGAAGGTAGCGTACCACTCGCAATGAACTTCATTGTGGCCCTTGGCGAGCTCCTTTGTCTCACGGCTCACCACCATCACCAACACCACCCAAGGGCCTTGCGTCGGCCACCCATCGGCTGGAAATGTGCAAGCGGGCGGTCGAGAACTCGGACTGGATCAACGTCGACGGCTGGGAGGCCGCCCAGGACGAATTCCAGCGCACAGTGGTAACCACCCACGCGGCCCAGGCCAGAGCTTGGCCCGAGCCCTCTCGGTTCTGAAGAATGTCTTTGTTTGTCGGGTCAAGGTGGTGCTGCAGTACTTTGACCGCAAGATCAACGAGAACAGAAGCGAGGAGGACCGCCTCCAGGTGATGCTCCTATGCGGCTCCGATCTCCTGGCATCGTTCAACACGCCGGGCGTGTGGGCAGACGAAGATGTACGAAGCTGACACACGACACACACGACACACACACGACACGACAACGGTGTGCTTGAGATTGGGAGGTTCATTGCGCTTTCCCCTCGACTCCGCCAGTTGGAGGTGATCCTCGGCAAGTATGGCGTGGCGTGCATCCAGCGCGAGGGATCCGATGCGATGAAGTCGATTGTTTCCAGCGACATCCTCTTCAGGCACCTGGTTCGTTCCTCGCGCACATCACCCTCTCCATTTCACGGTATCCATTTCAAAAGCCTGAACTCGCCGTGCCGACTGATGCGTGCCTTTTGTATCGGTAGAACAACATTCACCTTGTGCCGACGTGGATTCCCAACGACGTCAGCTCCACCAGGATCAGGTTCGTTGTTGTTGTGTTGTTTGTTGTTGTGGCCTCCCTCAAGCGCTGCGTCTTCTCACATCTGCTCTGCGCCCTGTGTACTGCACAGACAAATGCTGAATCGTGGTCTGTCGGTCAAGTACTTCATGCCGGACCGCGTCATCCAGTACATCCAAGAGAACAACCTCTACGCCAACCCGCCCGCGTGAGGAACTCCTCTTTGGACTCAGGCTCAGTGCAAAGAAAATGTAATCATTTCAAGTTCTTATTTTTCTATTATTTTAGTAATTCGATTTATTTTTTCATTGTTTTTTACAATAAATGACAGGAAATGGCGGCTAAGGTGGCGATCTGAGGCGCCCAACCGCCAGAGCCCTGCCTTTGTTTTGCTGGTGGCGATTTTCTTGGCCGCGTTCGCGTCACGTGCCAGTGTAGATCCTCTCTCTTTCGATCTTCTTGCTTCCCATCCCATTTCGCTATGGCCACTCAGCAGAAGGTACGCTTTACGTTGTTCTCTTCCTTTCATGCTTTCGCTCGCCTTCAATCTCCCTTTTTCATGCTTAAATCTCTTCATTTTTGTTCAGCAGCCCATCAAGCTCTACAGCCTTGAGTACTTCGCGGCGTGCGGCCTCGGTGGTATCCTGTCGTGCGGTCTCACCCACACGGCTGTGACGCCGATCGATCTCGTCAAGTGCAACGCTCAGGCCAACCCTGAGCACTTCAAGAACACCGTCCAGGGTTTCCGTGCCATCTACTCGGGCTCCCTGACCAGCATCGGCTTCGGCTCGGGCGTGTCTGGCCTCCTCAAGGGCTGGGGTCCCACCCTCTGGGGCTACTCCCTCCAGGGCCTCTTCAAGTTTGGTCTGTATGAGGTGTTCAAGCACTACTTCGCCGAGGCTGTTGGCCCCGAGAACGCCTTCAAGTACCGCGATCTCGTCTACATGGGTGCCTCCGCCTCTGCCGAGTTCTTCGCCGACATTGCCCTCTGCCCCTTCGAGGCCATCAAGGTTCGCATCCAGACCAGCCCGTCGTTCGCTCGCGGCATCATCGACGGCCTGCCCAAGTTCATCAAGGCCGAGGGCTTCGGCAACCTCTACGCCGGTCTCGGTCCCCTCTGGGCTCGTCAGATCCCCTACACCATCATCAAGGTACGCGCCCCTCTCTTGCCCGGTCAGATTGTCGTTGCCCCACAATCGCTGTCGTTTTCTTTCTCTCTACTCGCAAATTTAATCTAATCTTACGATTGTTCATCGTTTGTAACAGTTCGTGGCCTTCGAGAGGATCTGCGAGGCCATCTATGCCATGCTCCCCAAGAAGAAGGAGGACATGTCCAAGACTGAGCAGATGGGCGTCATCTTCGCCGCTGGTTACACTGCTGGTATCATCTGCGGTGCCGTTTCGCACCCTGCCGACACCATGGTCTCCAAGATCAACAAGATCAAGAGCTCTGGTTCGCTCGGCGAGAAGATGAAGCTCATCTACAGCGGTACCCCCGAGGCTCCCGGCATCGGCTTCGCCGGCCTCTGGAAGGGCTTCGGTCCCCGCGTGGTCATGATCGGTACCCTCACTGGTCTCCAGTGGTTCATCTACGGTGCCTTCAAGGCCTACGTCGGTCTCCCCACCCCCGGCGCCTCCGCTCCCGCCGGCGACAAGAAGCACTAGAACGCGACCTCGCGCTCGCTTCCTCCTCTCTCGCACCACACTCACGTCCTCTCTGCACTCTTCGCTCTTGTTTTAAAATTCGCCCATTCCTTGCATACTTAAGAAACAATATTTATTTCTTTCACGCGCAACAAAGAAAACTTATTTTCCCTCAATTATTGGGCTGCCAGAAAGATTGGTGCGAGATGGCCTCCACCAAGCAAGATGATGACGCGTCTATGGGCAAAGGGCCGGGAGAGGGTCTGCCTTCCTCTTCGAGCTCGGCGCCAAGCCTGCCACCCATCCCCACGCCCAGCATGCCTACGAGCAGCGTTGAAGGTTTGCACCTCAACGCGCCAGCACATCCTTTTCTTCTAAAATGTGAGCACCATGATTATAATCATCCGGTGTGCTCGCGTGCTAGATGAGGGAAAGCAAAAGAACGAAGTGGCTGGCGCCCTTGCTGGCGTCGGCAGGTACCTGGCCCACCGCTCCACCTAAAACTACAACATCTTTAACTTTAAATAAATAAAATGAATAAATAAATAACACGAATAAAAATACAAATATATATACAAGTGCAAATATGAAAATAAAGGCAAAGTACTAAACTCGAGAGCGCCATGCACGTCGCCCGATCAGGACGTTGTCGCGAGTGCTTACGCGAGCGGTGCTTGGCGTCGGCCGAGGCAGCATTGCTGGCACCCTCTCTGGCATGGCCGAAGAGACCGCCGGCTATCCGCTCGATCTCGTCAAGGCACGCCCGCTCCGTTTCACCCTCTTTCTTCTTCTTCTTCTTCCCCACCAAGCAGTCAACTCACCCGACCACCTGATGATGATGGTGGTGGTGGTGATGATGACAGACCCGAATGCAAGCCCACGGCGACCACCCCACGGGGGCCATGGGCATCCGTACGCCGGCCACCCACCGCTCCCCGCGCCTCCGCCACCCGCGCGCGCTCTCACCGCATCGTCCACTGGTGGCCTTGCGCGCGCTGACTGACTGACCTGAGTGTGGCACACCATCGCAGTGCGGGAGACCCTGCAGAAGGAGGGCGTGCGAGGGCTGTTCAAGGGCCTCGGCCCTCCGTTCCTCGCCTCGTCCATCACCACCGCCACCATTTTCGGTACCCCGACTCGTGTGTGTGTGTCGTGTGTGTGTCGTGTGTGTGTATGTGTGTGTCGTGCGTGTGTGTGTGTGTGTGTGTGACGCGACGCACACACGATGACAGTTGACATTTACCTCTTCACTGCGCGCCACCTCGCAAAGGGTCCTACGCGCACGCGGTGGACTTCCTGCACGAGCGCTACGGCAGCCGAGGCGAGGTGCGGCTGGCCCACGTGGCCCTGGCCGGCGCCGTTGCCGGATTCGCGCAGGCCTTCATCCTCTGCCCCGTCGACGTCATCAAGAACCGCATGCAGGCACACCTCACCACCGCCATCGACCACTCAAACGAGCGCTCATCTCTGCGTGTCGTGTCGTGTCGTGTCGCTATCGGTCGTGTGTGGTGTGTGGTGTGTGTGTGGTGTGTGTGGTGTGTGTAGGTGGGAGGGTTCGGGCACGGCGGAGCGGCGGGGCCGGGTAACATGGAGATGGTGCGGGAGGTGATCGCCACCCGCGGCTGGCGGGGCCTCTACCTCGGCATGGTCCCCACCCTCTGGCGCGACGTGCCCGGGTACCGCCCAGCCTCCCCCCCTTCAATCATGGGAGCATTCCACGCGTTCTCGGGCGCTCATCTTTTGATTCGTGGGTGGTCGTTGGTCGCCAGGTATGCGGTATTCTTCGCATCGTATGAATTCCTCAAGCGGTCGTTCGCTGCACTCCCGTTCCTGCGGGCCGCGCCGGGCGCCGCGGAGGGCGCCGACGACGACCCACACGGCGCCGGGGGCCTCTCACCCGTCGCCGTCATCCTGGCCGGTACCGCAGCTTCCCCCCCCTCCGTGCGTGTTTCTCCGTTCCGTCAGTGGTACCACTAACAGCGCACGCACACGCACACGCGCACACGCACCCGCACACACAAGGTGGTGTGGCGGGTATGGCGTATCACACGGCAACGGTACGCGCCCCTCTTCTCTCCCTATTTCGTTTTTCGTCGAAAGAAGAAACATAAATAAATTGATTTGATAACCCCCCCCCCACAGTACCCGTTCGACGTGGTCAAGACGCGGATACAGATCCAATCCGGGTCCACGCCCACCTACAAGAGCACCCTCGACTGCTTCCGCATCCTCTACCGACAAGGTAGCGCTACACCACCACACATCACCACCGCCGCCATCTTGAGCCCCCAATGTTGTGCAATGGATGGCGCTCACACGTGTGACGCACGCATTGGCGCACAGGCGGAGCTGGCGCGCTGTTCAAGGGCTACGTGCCAACGGTCCTCCGCTCCTTCCCGGCCAACGCTGTCGGCTTCCTGGTACGACGCAAGCGCTATCCCCCCCCCCGCTGTGGCCTGGCTAACCCAACGACCATCCTCCTTCCCCCCCAGGTCTATGAACTGACCCTGCGGTTCCTGCCTTGAAGCACCCCCCCCCCGCTACACGCGTGATCACACCACACCACTGTCAAAGCCCGTCTTTGAATCCAACACAACGATTCTGAGGATTGGCGTCATGATACGATATATTGTTTGTTGGTTGCCCCGGGGCCGAGTGGTGGTGCCTGGTGGTGGGTGGGTGGTCACTTGTGGCGGCCGAGGCTGCTGGTGAGCCAGTCCACGAGCTTGCCCAGCTGGTGGAGGGCGTCGGCTTGCTCCGCACGGCCCGCCGGGCGGTAGTAGGCCGACGCGGATGATGGCGGCGACGCACCGCGGTCGGCCCAGAAGAGGAGGTACACGTTGAGCAGCAGCGACAGGAACAGGACCACCACCATGCTGTACGTGATCACGCTCCTGTACACACAACACACATGAATGCCACACGCGCGTGCGATCAGTGTGTGTCATGTCGTGTCGTGCGTGTCGTGTGGAGTCGTGTGTCGTGTCACGAACCGGTCGTTGGGAAGATATCGGCTGAGTCGCCGTTGCATGCGCCACCCGGGCAGGCCGACAGGACCAACGAGGCCGCCGTTCTGCAGGAGCGGGCCGCCCTTCTCCGACGCCTTGCCCGGCCCGTACGGCTGCGCGGCCGCACCCGCCGCCACCGCGGGCCCGTCGCCCTTTGCGCTGAGCGCCATCGCGTACGACGGCGTCGTCGTCGTCGGCCCGTCGCCGGCAGGCGCCGATGCATTTCCGCGGAAGAGGCTGACGCTGCGCGCGAGGAATGTAGGAATGTAGATGGCGTTCCGCTTCGTGTTGAGCGGCCCCGAGTCCTCCTTCTTCCTCTTCCCGGCCGGCGGCGCTGCGGCCGCGGCGGTCGGCACCTGCTTGGCCGAGGCCGCCGGCGTGACGACGGTCTTGACCGCCACCGTGTCCGAGAACTCATAGTTGCCGCCATCGTCGTCGTCGCCGTCGTCATCGGCGGTGGCCTTGACGCCGCGATTGCGGAGGTAGAGGGGCGTGGCCATGGTGCGCACGTCGGAGGTGTCGTTGATCACCGCCGTGCCCAGGTCGCCGGTGGGTCCGGGCGAGGGCGGACATGTCGCGCTCACCCTCTTTGGCCGAGCTGCGCGCGTGTCGTGTGTCGTGTCGTGTCGTTGGTCGTGTCGTGCGTCGTGTGTCGTGCGTGCGGTGAGCCAGTGGGGTCGGTGGGGGATGGGGGGTTGATGGGGAGTGGGTACCAGGGGCGGGCGGGGCCGGCCCGGTCGGTCCGTCGCTGACGGTCTGTTGCCCGCCGCGCTGCAGGAAATCCGGCAGGAACCGCTGCTTCCAGAGGGAAAGAAAATGCTGAGTGAGCGTGTGCCATCGTGTCGTCGTGTATGCCGTGTGTGTCGTGCGGTTGAGTGCAGGAGAGCAGAGAGAGCGAGAGAGAGGTCATGGAGGTGCCTACGCACCTCTCGCTCGCGGCGCTTGCGGTGGAGGTGGTCGTGGTAAATTTTGAGGTTGACCCTCCCCGTGTGCTGCCCCGCCTCCCCGCCCTCCCTGAACAGCGCGTGCAGCTCTGCAAAATTCACCTCCTACGCCGCCGCCGACGCCGCCGCCACGACTGTCGGCCGTGTGCGTGTGCGTGTGCGTGGTGATGGGCGATGGGTACCCAGACGCCCTTGGGGGAGGCGGCGAGGAGGTCCTTGAGCGGGTCGACATTCCGCGCATTCTTGGTGATGAAGGGGTGCTGCAGCAGCTCCACGGCCGAAGGTCTGCAGCCGGGCCAGCAAACAATCAGGAATTTGAACAATGAAGATAACCGAGAGAGAGAGAGAGAGAGAGAAAGAATGTGAGGAAGTCGTACCGCTTGGAGGGGTCCTTGATGAGGGTGGAGGCGATGAAGGAGTTGAATTCCTTGGACCACTTGCGCGGGTCGGCCAACGTGGGCGGCGGCCGCACCGGAATTCCCATCATCGCCTTTCGTGACACGACACACACGACACACACGACAAGTGCGCCCATCAGTCACTCCCGACTGATTGGAATGCGAACGAAGGGGAAGGGGGGGGGTACCCGCATGGGCTTGAGGTCGGCGTGGGGCGGCCACCCGTCGGCGCATTCGATGGCCGTGATGCCCAAACTCCATATGTCCTGCATATATATAGATGTGTAGAAGCATATTATGTCTGTAAATATATGAATCCAGACATCTAGCCCAAAGAGCGTCCAATGGGGGAGGGGCACAATAATGGCACGTACGGATTTATTTACATGCTCGGGCGTGATTCGTCGCTGCACCACCTCAGGCGCTGCACAGCAACACACAAATTAAAAAAGATAAATATTGGTAAATAGTAGTAAGGGACCAATAAGCGTTCGGCACGTGGGCAACTCCATAGCGCCGACGGGGCGGCCACGCATACCCATCCAAAGCGGAGTGCCCGTGAGGGTGTCCCCGCCACCGACCGTGCCGGTCAACTGCTGCGACACTCCAAAATCTGTCGTGCGACACGACACCACACGACACACACACGACACGACACACGACACGACACGACGATGTCATTTGTCAGGTCAGGCAGCTGTCACCGGAGGGGGAGAGAGCGCGTACCAGCGATCTTGACCTGGCCCTTCTCAGTGAGGAGGATGTTGGCGGCTTTGACGTCGCGGTGGGTGATCCCGAGGGAGTGGAGGTAGGCCAGGCCCAGGAGCGTGCCTTGCATGACCTCCGCCACCTCCCTCTCCGTCAGAGGGCGCTCGAGTCGGCAAATAATGTCCCGCACCTGCAGCGACCCCCCATTCACACGCCCCCGCCCCCCGTCAGACCACCCCACGCCGCACACGCCGCACACGCGAGCGAAACGTACCGATCCCTTGCCGCAGTAATCCATCATGATCTGTGCGTGCGTGTGTCGTGTGTCGTGTCAAATGGAGTGGGTGGTGGATGGGCAGTTTGTGTGTGTGTGTGTGTGTGTGTGTGTGTGTGTGTGTGTGTGTGTGTGTGTGTGTGTGTGTGTGTTACCCAGAGGTCGTGGGTGTCGTCGGGCGCCTTCTGGAGGGCCGTCCCGAAGTAGCTGACGATGTGGGGCGATTTGCATTTGCGGAGGATGTCGATCTCCTTGCGGATGTCCTTGTTCACCTCCGAGTTGGGGTCGCCGATGGCCAGCACCTTGATTGCCTGTGCACACGCGACACACACGCGACACGCGCACATACGTAACGCGCAACGTGCACTGAGCGAAAAGCGTGCATAGCGCACGCCGACGCTGCTCCACGACGTACCAGGAGGAACCCGCTGGCCTTGTGTACGGCCTTGTGCACCGCGCCAAACGCTCTACGCACACGCGCCACCGCACACGCACACGCACACGCACACGCACACGCACACGCACACGCACACAAAGAGTCAGATTCACAATTGCAATCAATAAAAGCCAACAACAGTGGGGTGTAGCTACCCTTCGCCCAGCTTTTCGACGAACTCGAATATATCTCCCGGGTCTTGTCCGGACCACTGCGTTGCTCGATGCACCACCAGCCACCGCCGCCGCCGCCGTCATCGTCAGACCATCGGCCGGCACACCAGCGAGCGCTGGGCGGGGAAAGGGGGTGGTGGAAGAGGGAGCGTATACCGAGAACTCAAAGTCCACGTGCACCTGCGAGCACCAGGCAAGGGGGGGGACAGGAGTCATGCGGAAGAACGAAAGGAGACACATTGCGGTGGGGGGGAGAAGAGCGAAAGCGACATGGGGCGGGGCGGTGCACTACCTTGTGTTGTACATTGAAGGGGCCACCTACCACGACTGGCCCCGAGGCTTTCATGTCATCTAGAATCAAAAAGATGGATTTGTTGTTTAAAAATAATATAAGATTTTGTTTTTAAAACACGCAGCATTGTTCTATCTGCGGCGTGGTTGTTCTAGAGGGAGTACACCATACCTTCGGACTTTTTCCTTAGCTTCATAAATATACGGCTGTGCGGCAAAGGAGGCCAGGGGTGCAGATGGGGACAACTGGCGTCCAGGCAGCACCGCTCCTGTGCTCCCTCTCCGCCTGCGTGGACAACAATTCAAAAATGCCGGAATGTCCGGCACGCAGAACGGGAAAGAAAGAAATAAAAAAGAAATAGTTTTCGCAGATGCCGTATTTTTTAGATCGAATTTTACATCAGTTTTTAGCAAGACCAGATGTGGTTGCGCGGTGTCAATGGATTGGGTGTGGAGGCCACCGCGGGCTGGAGGCTCAGGGAGGCGGTGCGCGTGGGCGTAGCGAGCAAGGGCGGAGCGTGGGGCGGGGTGGTGCCCGTGGTGGGTGCACCCAACGCCTATGCTGCCCTGCTCGCCGAGCGTGCCGGTTTGCCGCTGCTCTATCTCTCCGGCTCCACCCTCTCCGCCTCTTCCTTTGGGTGCCCTCCCACTACTCCCTTCATCTTCGCTCAACTTTCTTTTTATTTTATTTATTGTTTTATTTATTGATCTGGCGTACCTGCACATGCATGCAGACTACCAGACCTGGGCTTGACAACGCTGGACGAAGTTGTGGAGGACGCGCGCCGCATCACCAGGTGCGGCCTGCTCTACTCGCCTTGCTTGATTGGTTTTATTACCTAAGAATAATTAATAATTAATAATTTTTTCTTGACGATAACTTGGTTGGCACTGCAGGGTGAGCAAGCTGCCGCTTCTGGTGGACGCCGACACGGGCTTCGGGGGCGTGCTCAACGTGGCCCGCACGATCCAGGAGCTCGAGCGAGTCGGTGCCGCTGGCGTGCACATCGAGGATCAGGTTCGGCAAGAGCACACCTGAACACACCACACACACACAATCGATCGGACTCACTGAACCGCACGCTGCGAGCAGGAGACCCAGCACAAGCGCTGCGGACACCGGCCGAACAAGAGAGTGGTGACCACGGGCGAGATGGTGGACCGGCTGCAGGCCGCGGTGGCGGCGCGCAGAGACCGCAGCTTTGTGATTATGGCCCGTACGGACTCTGTCGCCAGCGAGGGCCTCGACGCGGCGCTCAAGCGCGCCCAGGCCTACATCGACGCGGGCGCCGATATGCTCTTCCCCGAGGCCCTCACCCACATCGATCACTACAAAGCGTACGAGGGCCGATTAAGTCTCAATAATCATCATTTCACTGCGCCACTCATTAACACACACACCTACAAAACAGATTCACTTCTGCGTTCCCGGACACGCCGGTGTTGGCCAACCTGACCGAATTCGGGCGCACGCCGCTGTTCACGCTGGAGGAGCTGAGCCAGGCCAAGGTGGCGCTGGCGCTCTTCCCCGTCTCGGCCTTCCGGGCCGCGGCGCGCGCGACCCAACACGTCTACGAGACCGTCGCCAAGGACGGCTCCCAGAGCGCCGCCATCCCGCTCATGCAAACGCGCGAGGAGCTCTACGATGTATCACTTTCTCTCTCCCCGGCTGATGCCCAAACGACTGACGCGTGTGGGTGCGGTGCGTGTCGTGTCGGGTCGTGCGGCGTGCGTGTGCGTTGTGGTGCGCGCACAGGTGCTGGGATATGATGAGTACGAGAAGGCATTGGACGCGCTCTATCCGCCGCCAGCCACTCCGGCTGCTCAGGCGCCCGCGGCGGCAGCCCCTGCGGCTGTGGCCTCACTTGCCTCGTCCGGCGGCATTGGTACTGAGGGTCAGAGCGTCGAAGAGGCAAAAGCGAAGGAAGAGAAGAACGAAGAAAAGGAAGAAGAAGAAGAAGAAGGGGAGGTGCTGCTGGTGGAAGAGAACGGAGAAAAGAAGGAAGAAAAGGTTGTCAGCGAGACAGCAGCCCCAAACAACGAAGACGAAAAGAAAGAGAAAAAGAAAGAAGACGAAGAAAGCGAAGACGAAGACGAGGATGACGACACGGGTGTGGTCATCACTGCCGACTCCGCGGCAGCCATTGAAGAAGAGCTGGCCTCTGGAAAGGAGATCAAGCTCAAGGACTAGGGTCCCAGAGTTCTTGTTCCACCTGTGACCAGAAACTTGCAATCTGCAACCCAATACAACCGCCCACACCCAGCAAAGGAAATCGATTGCCTTATCTAGTCTGTTGCCTGCTTTGGGTCCTTTCCTCATTTGGTTTGTTGACGAGGAAAAGCACTCTGGCCTGTTCAGGCTGAACAACGTTGTTACTGGGAGTCAGAGCTATCCTTTTTAGGCTAAACAATGCCAAACTGGAGAAATCCGATTCAGTGCAGGTGGGCGCCAAAAAGAGTGTGGCGGAGGCAATGATCCCCATCCATTGCTGGCCATGGTACCGATTCTTATCGGAAAGGTCGAGATTACCTTTCTTGCGGGACTACTCGACCCTTTTATGGTTAACTACCCCGAGCTTTGCGTCTTGCTCTGTGGTGTACCAGTCCTGCAAAGAACTGAACCCTCGGCTTCTTCGCTTCGTTTTCGCCCCAGACAGAGCGCAACAACCAGGCCCTGCATCTGCATCCTCAGCATCAAACGATATGTCGTCCCACTCTCAGCCTCTCTTCCACAACCACCACCACTACGCGCTCCACTTCAACTGCCACTTCCCCCACGTGCGAGCCCTGGGCCTCCGCGCAACATCCCACCAAGAACATGAACGTAGACGTCATCAACATCATCGACAACGACAACGACAATGATAACGATCACATCAACAAGACCCAAGCGAAGTCGCTCGACTGCGCAAAGAAGAGACGGCGAGTCGGCGGTGGCGGTGTGGAAGAAGAGCAGGCCAAGCTGCCGAGGAGGTGGAAGCGATCGCAGGTGCCTGGTACCGTGACCGCCGTGACCCCCGCCAAGGCCTACATGCCCCACGCCACGACAGCGCTACACGCCTGCAGCGCCAGCACGAGCCGAGCCGGGGCCAAAAAGAGGAAGGCCACCAGGCGACAGCTCCCCAAAAGGCGGGCCAGGCGATCCGCCTCGCCGACGGACGTGGGCCTCTCGTCGTGGTCCACCGCCACTCTGGTCTTCCACCACCTCCAGGTCAACCCGCAGGGCTGCTTCGTCGATGTCTTCGAGCGAACGTCGTTCCCCCGATGACCCCACCCAACCCCCACGAAAAAGGAAAAACGTCTAAAAGTCCGTAACTTGAATCTAAACCTTTTTTTAACCACTTTAGCAAACTGCAAGTTTTTTTTCTAAAGTTGGAAAATTCGAAGCAAAAAGAGAGATGGAGCAGGGAGCACGACGGAGGAAGGGTGCCGGGGCTGCTGGTGCCACCGCGCAACCATCGGCCGAGCTCATCCACCACGGGCACGCCCATGGGCACACTGCCCCGCCCAGACCGGTGCGCTATCCATCCACCAAAAATCTTGCAAGATTATTATTTGATTTTTGTACAATCCAGCAACTCTTCAATGGACCGAGGTGCAAAGTGATGATTTTGTGCATTTGTTATTCATTTGTTATTTGTTATTTTTTTAACTATTTTTTTGAAATCAATTTAGCCGGCGAAGGAGGAGGGTCGAGTAGCGTTCTGGGGTCGTGTGCTGTTGGGCGTTGTGGTGCGGATCACCGTGTCGGTCTCGATCGTGCTGGCCGGCATGGCCCTCTACCACGCCTTCGCCACCTGGCAGGAGGACAACTACTTCGCACCTCCTGGTACTCTCTCACAAACCACCCGCCCGCCCGCCCACGGTTGTAAACACTAAACGCATCTTCTTCTTCATCTTCTTCATCTTCATCTTCTTTCTCTTTTCATTCTTGGCGTTATGTACACCAGGCAGCATGATCGACGTCGATGGCCACTTCATCCATCTCCACTGCTTTGGTGGCCGCTCCCCTCATGGCGATGATGACGAGGGTGATGATGATGGTGATGATGGTGGTGGTTCGTTGCGACTCATTGCTCTCCGTTCCACTTCGCCCTTCGTGTCGTGTGGCACGGGCTAACAATGGTGGGGGGGCCTCGCCACAGCAGAAGGCGGCGACGCGACGCGAGAGCCGACGGTGGTGTTCGACCACGCGACGATGCACCTCTCGCAGCAGTTCCACAAGGTAGTCGGCGCACTGGCCGCCACCAACCGCACCATCCGCGTCTGCCTGGTAGACCGCGCCGGCTACGGTTTCAGCGAAGAAGCGCCCGAACCCGATGTGTCGTCGCCGTCGTCGTCGGCTGAGCCGCGCATCCGCACGGCCGAGGCCAGCGCCGAGGAGCTCTTCAAGGCCCTCCACCGCGCCGGCGAAGAGCCGCCCTTCGTTCTCGTCGGCCACTCGAGCGGCGGCGTCAACCAACTCGTCTACGCCGCCCGCCACGGCCCCGCCGCCGCCGCCGCTGACAACACCAAAGAAACCGAGGTCGCGGGCCTGGTGCTGGTCGACCCGATGCCGCCCGGGTTCCGGCTGCCCTCGCGGCTGCAGGAGATGAAGCGCACCGTGGCTACGGGCCTGCGCCTGGTGCCGTGGCTCGCGCGGCTGGGCCTGCTCCGCAACTTTTACTACCTGTCGTCGCTCACGGGCCAGGCCGACGCGGTCTACGCGGCCGACGACCTCCACTACCGCCGCTGGGCCGAGTGCAAGCCGGCCTACTGGCGCGCGGTGCTGCGCGAGTTCGAGGCCGAAGACGAGAATCGCGCGATCGAGCGGCACGAGGCTGACATTGTGGCGCAGCGGTGGAGCCTGCCGCTGGTGGTGGTGGCGGCCGGACGCCTGGCGCCGTCGTTCGACGACGCAGCGCTACGCGAGGCGTGGATGGCGGGCATGCAGCGCCTGGCCAACTACTCGACCGGCGGGCGGCTCGTCATTGCCGACGAGAGCGGACACGAGGTGCCCTCCGAGCAGCCGGACCTCGTAGCGCAGGCTATCGTCTCCGTCCTCGACCAGTGGCGAACAACAACGACGACGACAACACAACCAGCGCCCAACACGCCAGCAAGCTAGGCGGGGATGTAGGCTACACGAATATAGGACTTGGGGGCTATGATGCGATCATCGACAACCAAGAAGGCGGGGCAGGAAGGGAAGAGCACAGAAAGAAGAAGAAGAAGAAGGGGAGAATAATAGAGAGGGGGGGAGGAGAGAGAGAGAAGAGATGAAGTAATTCTACAGCTGATGGGCGGGAGAGCAAGGGCAGACTCGGTCGATTGTTCCCGAGAGGACAAGACTTGTGATCACGTCGTGGTCGTTTGTCGGTCTTAGCTCGGCTTCTTGTTGGTGAGGCTGGAGATGAGCTCGGCCAGCGGCTGCAGCTCCTTCTTGTTGATGAGGCTGAACTCCTGGACGAAGAAGATGAAGTGCTTGAACGAGGTGTTGAGGTGGGCCTCCTCGCCCAGGCTCACGATCTTGGGGAAGTGCGAGTGGTAGATGTGGGCGTAGACGCGGAAGAGACGCTTGAAGATGTTGCCCACGATCTGCACGAAGCTCTTGGGGAAGGGCACGCCCACCTTCGAGGGGAAGATCTCCTCGTCGTCGAGCTGCTCCTGCACCCAGGTCATCAGGAAGTCCACATACTCGGGCGCCGAGCACTTGATGGCCTTCTTCACGTTCACACCATCGGCCCACATGTACTCATACCTGGTCACACACGAGTAGAGTAGACGCACGCAACAAGTAGCAATAGTAGTAGAAGAAGAAGAAGTTGGACAAACGTAGAGCGTTAGACAAGAAGAAGCTTTGGGTTTTACAAGGATGCGAGTAGGGGAGAGAGCAGGATCTCGTACTTGGGGCCAGCAGACATGACGGGGCACTCCTGGGGCGTGCAGAACTCGGTGATGGTTCCGTACAGCATGTTGATCTGATTGAAGAAGTCCACAGCTGCGAAGTGAAAGTGAAATTAATTCGCGATTACGCCAACCACGGCCAGATGCGGATTCAATTGGAAGGCGAGAAGAGGAGGGGTTTGGAAGGGGGGAGTACTGTTGACGGCGAGCCATTCGTTGATGTCCTCGCCTTCGGGAAGGGTAACGGCGAGCTTGAGGTTGCCGCTGCCAAGCGTGGCCTCCGCATACTTCTTGAGCTGGTACTGCTTGGTGCCCTCAGGAATGTTCTTGTGGGGCTTGAATGTCTGACTCTTCTTTCTGTATTCAATGAAAAAAAGAGGGGACAATCAGATTTGAATCGTCACACTTGACAACAAACGCTGACAAGAAAGAATTTCGTTTACCATCACCACATTCACACAACCTTCCTCCTTGTGTTCCTCAGCTTTCCTCCCTCTGAAATCCATTTTTCTTCTTCAATTGTCTTTGTTTGGGCTTGATGGAGTGAGAATGAAAAGCGGGCGTGTGGGTACCCAAGTCCAAAGATGCTCATTGTGGATGGTGGATTGTGGTCTTAGTGAATGAGCTCCTCCCTCTAGCCTCTTGTTGCCTTGCCTTCTCTTGTGTGTGACCACTTTTGCCTTGGTCGTGCTCTCTCCGTTGGTGACCGCTCCGGTTGCCAAGAAGGAAAAATGGACTTCGTTCGACACAGAAGGAATTTTGAAGCCCCAATCCTCACACGGCCCAGACCCAAAGTTTTGGGTTTTGTTCGTTTCGGTCACCTGTGGGGTCACAGGTGTCAGCGCTACCGGCCACGATCGTGTTTGGTGTGAGACAAAAGAAAGAGTTGAGCTCAAGCGAAAGCTTTGAAAGGAAAGAGGAGCTCTCAGTTGAGGGCGAGGGCACGCGAGAGGGCGAGCTTGAAGTGGCGGGTGAAGTGTGGCAGCGCCCGCTCCGTCTCCGTCTTGAATCGGGCCGTGAGGCGGCCCTTGGCCGTCTCGCCCACCACCTCCACGACAAAGTAGGCCGATGACCGATCCTGCGCCGTCGTCCATTCAGTGATTCAGAATAAGAACCATGCATCATCACATGAATAGCATCGTCTTGTAGAGAACAAGGGAAGAGTAGTGGTTACCTCCTGGGCGAAGAAGTAGTACTTGTGCACACCGCCGACGGAGCCCGAGGCCATGCACATGACCTGCTCCGCGCTCATACGCGCCTCCACGCTGCTCCAATCCGCGCTGGCCTGTGACGTGTCGTGTGTCATGATGATCACACCACCCATTAAACTCGGGAGGGAACTGGTTGGGCGATGGGGGGGGGAGGAGTTGGTACACTGATCGGGGCCTCCCAGGTGTGGGCCACGGGGAGGGCGGCCCACTTCTCCTGAAACGTGCGCGAGTCCATGGTGGCGCGCGGTCGCAGCACCAACGGACCCTCCTCGCCCTGTGTTAAACAGCAATAGAAGAGAGAAGAGGCGGTCAACCGCCAGATCAAACTACGTGTGTGTGTGTGTGTGTGTGTGTGTGTGTGATGACGCACGAGCAGGCTCTGGGCCTTGGCCGCGGTGGTGAAGGGGGCGGCGGGCTTCTCGTCCTGCTCGACCGACACCGTAGAGCTCACCGCCGGTGCACCCGCCGAACCGGCCCTGCGACACACCGGCGTTCGTTATGCAATGTAATCAACGAGACGCGGATGTGCAGCGAGTGTTGCGGAGGGGGAGGGTGTACGTTGGTCGTATGTCGAGGGTGGGCGGCCGTGGGAAGCGATGGGAGGGAAGGCCGTAGACCACCGCCAACGAATTGAACTCGGCCAACAGCTCCTCCTGGTGGTCATCGCACCATGTGAGGGAAAATGAAAACCAAAACGAAACGGCAAAAGCGAAACACGAAACACGAAACGCAAAGAACGGCGAGCTGGCGCCTTGTGGAGGGGAGGGGGAGAGACGTACGTAGAGCTCCGTGTGGGTCTCTTCGGTGAAGGCGCCGATGGGGTCCTTCTCCACGAGGAAGATTTGTCGCGCCTGGGAATGCGTTAGTCTATGTTGTGTGTCGTGTGTTGCGTGTCGTGTGTCGTGTGTTGTGTGTCATTGGTCGTGTACCTGAGAGAGGTGCTGGCGAAGGAGGCGATAGTAGAGGAGGGCGCGGTCGCGTACGTCCACGTTGGACGAGTCGTCGAGGGCGGCGTGGAGGAGTTGGCCCATGACGGGCTGCATCTCGGGCGCCCGCTTGAACAGCAGCTTCATCGCCGCCGACAGCAGCTGCAGCTTGAGCGCGGCTGGCAGCTCGGCATAGGTCGGCACCAGCTCCTCCAGCAGGTACGGGGCCTCGCCGATCCGATCGCCGTACTCGCCCAGCACCCACACATACGCGCCACGCGCCTCCGTGTCCTCCTATAGACGCACAGCCCACAGCGATATTTGTTAAGGTGGCGATCTAGGAGTGTTAAGGTGGCGGAGGCCGCCTTAAGGTGGTACGTGACGTAGACGTAGAGATGGGTGCGTACCAGGCGAGCCGAGTTGGTGGCGGAGAGGATGGGCGGGAGGAGCGTGTCGGCGTAGGCTGGCGAGCGACGAAGCAGCGCCAGCGCGAGCGAAAGGCCGAGGCCGGCCCAGGCCCCGCCGTGCGCCGCCGCGCCGAGCAGGTCCTGCGCCACAAACACCGCCGATGACTCAGCCTGTCCACGTTCATGGCCAAATCACACGAATTAGCGTTGTGTGCGGTGGTGCGTGCGTGTGCGGTGGTGCGTGTGCGCACCTGAGGAACACCGGCAGCGATGCGGCCGATGGCTGCAACGGCGCGCTTGCCGAGTTCGTGGTCGCCCTCGCGGATGTACTCGCTGAGCTCTTCGACGATCTGCTGCGCATTGGCCTCCGATGCGATGTCCGTGAGGATGTCCACCTTGAGCACCTTCACCGCCGATGTGTCGTTGTACCTGCGCGCGAGTGTCACACTCTAGATCTAAGCACCGTCGCACACACGACACGCGAAAATACGCACGACACACGTACCGACAAAAGAAATGTTTGTAGTGGGCCGAGAAGTGTTGCGGCGCGACCGTGGCAAGGAGCCGCGCGTGGTGAAGGCAGGTCCAGGCCTCTTCGGGGCCGGCGCTCGACAGGACCGTGATCAGCGGACCCACCAGCCGACCATAGACCTGCTCGCGAATGGGCAAACCCTATACATGTAGCCCGCCAGCGAATCATCGCGTGTCGACACCCACCATGACTGGTATGAGACCAATGCGACGCTCCGGAGAACGACAATGTCGACACACGTACGTCGGTGAGGTGGAGGAAGGCCTGCAGGACGGCGAAGATGACGGTCGGGTTGTTGAGCTTCAGTCGGTCCTCGAGCACGTTCAAGATATCGTACAAATCGTCCTCGGTGGGCGAATGCCGCAGCGCCTGTGGTCACAAGACAGAAACGATTAGCGGAACTCCAAATATAACAAAAAATGTATAAATATAAAATAATAACCAACAAAAGATAACAATAACAAATAAAATGCGTGTGACACGCATACTGGAGGCCGTGAGGGGGGGGATACGATTTGGAGGACCAGGCACATGGCCCACGGATTGAACTCGGACACGCGCGAAAAGAGGTGCATCGCCAGCGTGCGGGTCACCGACGGACCACCGGCGCTCAGCAGCACCTGCCCAGGCGAGTGATGAGAACGGTCCATTGTGTGGTGGTGGTGGTGGTGGTGGTGGTGGTGGTGGTGGTGGTGGTGGTGGTGGTGGTGGTGGTGGTGGTGGTGGTGGAGTGAAGGGAGCACGCTCGTACCTCCTGGAGGGCGGCGAGCGCGTTGTGCGCCACCGCCGGGTCTCGGTCGGCCACGAGATCGTAGAGCTGGCCCACCCACGTGTTCTGCGCCACAGGGCGATTAGGATTGCATGCAGCTCTTCAGTGTGAGCGGCGGTGCCTCTCCTAGGCTAGCGCGATCACACCAGCGCACGCGCGCACAACCCGCAATTGGGTGGTTTGTGGGGGGAGCGCACCTGTCGTTTGAGGACCTGAGGCGAGAGCCGGTGCAGCTTCGCAACCGCCAGCGCTGCCGTCTTCCGCACATACGGCGCCGGGTCTCGCAAGCCTACACCACCGACCAAAGTAAGTTCGACACACGACACACACGACACAAGACACGACACGACACGACACACGACGAAGCATGGTCGAAGAGATCTCATCATCGACGCACCGTTGTCGACGGGCGGGATCATGTACTCGAGGAAGTCGGGCAGTCGGAGGGAGCAGAGGTGGCGGAGGGCAAGGCCGCGGATCATGGGGTTGGTGTCGGTGACGTCCTTCTGCAGGGTGTTCACCGCCAGCAGCGACAGGTCCGGATGCGACTCGGCGTAGGTGGTCAGGTACAGGTAGACCAGCTTCTTCTGCACCACATCCCTCGTGTTGCACGACTGCATGTGTTGTGTGCGATGTGTGCGGTGTGCGTGCGTGTGTGTGTGTGCGATGTGTGTGTGCGTGTGCGTGTGTGCGTGTGTGTGTGTGTGTGTGGTGCCGTGTGGACGTGCGTCAGGTGCGACACGGGGGGAGGGGCTGGGGGACGGAGTGCGCACCATGACCATCTCAGGGAAGAGACGGGAGAGGTCAATGCCGACGGTCATGAAGGCAATAACGCGCTTCACCACCTCGCGCTGCTTGTTCATGTCACGCTCCACCGACGCCTCGCGCAGCCCTGCCAACAGCTCTTGTACCTCGCCTGCAGCCACCAAGCATGATCAATTTAATATTAAATTAAAAAAATCATGCTTTGAATTTGTAAAATGGTTGATAATCACTTGAAGATTCTACTTGGGTTGTGGTCAGGTGGATTGTGGGGGGGGGGGGAGAAACCAGTCTTCAACTCAGAGAAGTAGCGGCTGGGAGCAGCGGAGGGAGTAGTTGCCGGAGGTGCAGATGGAGACGAGGAGGAAAAGGAGAACGAGGCCGAAGATGGGTGGCCCGGCCGCGAGAACGCTGCGTCGCCCACTCCTGCCATCTTGCCGTGATGGTGGCTGGATCTTAGACTTTAATCGCCTGTTTCAAATATTTTAGCGGGGCCGAGAAATTTACAGCAATCGAACAGAAATCTGGAAAATGAACAATTAAATTGGCCAAAGAAGGCAGAGGATGAAGGGGACAAATCGAAGTAGCAGCCTCTACCAGCCCTTCCTCGATGAGGACGAGGTTCGCGAGGAGGCGGGAAGTGGAGTGGTGCTCTTCCATAGGCGGTCTTGGCACCCCTGGGACCTGCTGTCGGGCCAAGTGGTGACAATTACAACGCATGCGATTCGAGTAGAGGCATCGCCCACGATGATGTGCTGTGGCAGCAAACGAACCAAGTCCAGCCTGCCCCTTGCTGACGTGCGTGACCTGGCCCTGCAGCCTGGATGCCTGGGCACGCTATGGCCCACAATCTTTGTCTACTCGCGCCACGATCCCCATCTTCCTGCCCTTCGCCTCCGCACTCTCCGGGGTGCGTTCGCCAATCCTCACCTCTTGCTCTTCTCACGTCCTGGTGAAAGATCTTCGCTAAGAATGGTGCAGGCGCCACGGAGGTGTTCAAGGCCTTGAGAGAGGCTGTGTCCGAAGTGCACTCACGAGAGCTCATGGGCCACGACCTCTAGGCCCAGGTGTTAGCTGCCGCCTGTGAAGCCCTCGCCATTTTCGCTGTGGTTTGTACAATTTTCGATGCACCGGTATCATCACCCGCTGCATCATCATCAACACGGCAACAACAAGGTGTGCGTCGCGTCACCTTCGACATCACATCACCCCCGTGTCGCGTTCGCTTTCGTTCTAGGGCGAGTCGGCGGGGGAAGAATACATGTATTTAACAAAGGACCAGCGGCTAACCGCCTGGAGGTTGAAGGTAACGTGGCTGTTGTTGTTGTTGTTGTTGTTTGATGTTGTGGTGTTGGATGTGTGGCTGCTGCTGCTGCAGGTGCGGATGATCATTATGAGGACGGCGTCGTAGCTGTCGAAGGCTGGGTGTCCTTCTCGTAGAAGAGCATGTAGGCCGGCGCCTTGAGCACTTGATCTTTCGTCACACTCTGGCACACCTCGTCCGAGATAAGGACCCAATCACTCTCCGTGCCGCCGGTCGACGCCCATCCCGCGCGTTGCCGCAACTGTGCATTATTCGACACACAACGCCGACTACATTCAGCCACGAGCTCTGACAGGACGACGACAACAACAGTGCAGTGCAGTGGAGAGGAGAGGCAAAGGCCAACATACCTTGCTCTCGATGACTTTCCTGTAGACGGTGAAGTGTCCGCCGTCTTCGGAGCCGTGGTGCACGATGACGGCCGCCAGGGTGTAGGAGATCCCACACCCGGGTTCGCAGTAGGGAGACAGGTCGAGATTGAAACCGAAGCCGACCTTGTCACCCCTCTTCACGAAGGTGGTGTCCCTGAAGCCGGGCTCTGCGCGGACGCACAACATCGGGTGAGTCACTCACATGGGTGGTGGTGGTGACGGTGTGGAGAACGTACGAGCAACCAATCGCTGGATGTGGAGGCACAGAGCGTGCGGCGACTTGGCGATGGACAGCCTCTTCTCGGCGCGAAGGACGGAGGACCACCGGTCGGTGGCCGAGATCGATAGGATGGAGCTTGGGAGGGTCGTGAAATTGATGGCGTCGCTCGGCATCCTGAAAAGAGGACCGAGCAATTCGCGAGGGTCTCTGGGTTCTTTTTGCGCTACGGCGGGCTCTTGCGACTTGAGCCGATTCTTGACATGGCGCCGCTCCTCGCGCAGCAGCGCGATGCATCGGTCGCAGCGGACGCCGATGAGCTCCTCGGGCTTGGTGAAGAGGTCGAGACAGTTTTCCAGTGTGGGGCCGAGCCCGTGTCTCTCCGTTCCTCGAGGGATCGCCAGGGAGAGGTCGATGAAGTTGTGCGTCTGCGCACGCTCCTACATTCCATAAATCGCAGAGATATATGAGTGTGAGTGGACGCGAAAAGAAGAACACGAAGACGAAGACGAAAACGAAGACGACGAAGAACGCACGATCTTGCATCTCTTGCAGGAGATCTTGCTCACGAGTCGGCCCGCGAAGGGATTCGAATTCCGTTCGTCGGCGTCCCACTCCTTTTCGAGCTGACTCTGCGTGGTGGCGGTACTGTTGTTGCTGGCGGTGTAACTCGCAGCGCGCGTCTCCTCTTTGGCTTTGCCGGCCTCCTTTGCGGGGAGTCCTTTCTCCTCGTCCAGAATCGTCATCAGGTGGTGCAGCAGCTCCTCGGGGTCCTACAGAGGCGAGGCCAGACGTGAGTCGCCCGGTGAGGTGCGCCCGTGCTGTATCGATACGCGCGCGTGCGCAACAGAAGGGGTGGAGGGCAGCCACGTACGTGCTGGCCTTGCGCGAAAGTGTTCTGTAGCACGGGCACACCAATGACCATGGGCGTCGGGTCGTAGGGTCCTGACTGAGCAGGTGCCGCCAACTCTGCAAAATAAAAATAAAGAGAGGTCAATACTTGTATTTGCATTTGTATTTATGCATTTAATTATTTATATAATAAAGTACCGAGTAGTGGCATGCCGAGATCAGATGAAAATCAAAGAGAAAATCGACTGCACCACCAATTTCTAAGAAAGGGGGACATCTCGCACCTCGCATTGAATCACGCAGGGCGTCCGCGAGGGGCGTTCGAGAATCCTTTGAGGCTGTGGCTGCCCCGTTGTGCAATCCCATGTACGAGTGGAACGATCTCAGGCCCATCAGCGACTGTCAACATATCGTGAATTTAGGCAACAGCAAACACTTGCACAATGCCCTCTTCTCAATGGTACCATCACTAATGCACAACGAGAGAAAGAAGCGCAAGCAGCAGCACGTACCTGGAGGACAACGTTGAGGAAGCAGGTGTTCCCCAGATTCTTGATTCCTCTCACGCCAGAATAGTTCCTGGAGGCGATGGCCCCGCTGCGCAGTCCGCCTTTCATCTTTTGCTCTGATCTCGAATCGGCCTAAACTTCCTTTCTTTCCGCAACTTTTGCTGTGGTCAAGAGTTATCGTACGTCCCTTGCGTCCCTTCTTCCTCCAACAACAACGGAACGTGAGAAATAGTCGTAGCGTACGCTCTGCTCCGCCTCTTCGCGACGAACTCCACCCATCGGAGATGGAGGACTGATAGACACCACACGGAAAACTGCGGGACTCGCCACATCAACCGGCAAGTTGGGCTCTTCGGATTGCCACCTTAAATTCGCCCACAGAGAACACATCGAAGAAGATGAAAAAGGATAAAGAGAAGACTAAAATGGGCTATGGTGGCCTTCTGGTGCGTGAAGTGAACTGGCCGACTTGGTTTGATCAAATGCAAACCCACGATTTTCAATCAATTGATTGGATCCTCGGATTTCGTAGCGTGTGAGTGATGGAGCCTCCGCATAGAACATCGCGACCAAGGTCTACACTGTTCGCTGCCAATGATTCTGATTCGAGTAGTAGCGACGAGGAAGAGGAAGAAGACATCAGGAAGGAGGAAGAAGATGAGGAAGAGGAAGAGTTGCGGCTCCACGCGAGGCGGCTTTCCCAGCGGTTTGAGCAGACGGGCGGCCAGGCCGGGAGGTGGTGCTGTGCCTCGTGCAGCTTCATCAACGGGACGGAGCTACTCACCTGCCAGGTGTGCACCCGCCCGCGTAGGCGACGCCTCGAAGACGAAGCCCAAGACCGCACCCAGAGGTTCGTCCACTTCTCTATTCACCTGCGTGTGCGGTTCGTGCGTGCGGTGTGCGGTGTGCGCGGTGCTGACTGTGGTCGGTAGCAACGTGCACGAGTTTTCGTGGGACGTGTTCAGCTCGCTGGCGGATGAGGTCGTGCTCTGCGTGTTCTCGCACCTCGGCCTGGAGGGGCTCTGTCGCGTGTCCTCCGTGTGCCGCCGGTGGAGGCGGCTCGCCGACGACGACACCCTCTGGGAATCGCTCCTCCACCGGGTCATCGTCCGAGGTGCTCAGGCCCACCCCCCAACACTCGCACCATCATCTGCGTATCGCTGACACGCACACACGCACGCACACGCACGCACACGCACGCACACACGCACATCCACACACGCACGCACGCACGCACACGCACATTCTTGCTCCTTGGCTGGGCGTGGTGCTATCAGCTGATGGCGCGGAGGAAGCCGACCCGCCAGTCCCCGAGAAGGAGAAGAAGGCGCACCGAAGGAGTGCCATCTACTACCACTCAACCGCAGGCAGAAGGTGAGCTTCCGTGGCCTGAATTCTCTCTTCATTTCTTCTTTGTTATTCGTTTTGTTGGTCGTCAGCTGACAATTGCATGCATTTTGGCCAGGCTCAAGGCCGCCTCGCTCACCAGGCTCATCGACCTCATCACACCGGGCGACGAGACCGGATGTACGCGCTCCTCTGTCTTCGTCTTCGTCTTCATTCTTTGTTCTCTCTCCGCTTTCGGCCGCATATCGCCTCACCCCCCCCCCCGCGCGCTCGTTGTGTGTTCTTTGGGCAGCTCGCTTCTGTGCGGGGGACATCAACGAGCAGAAGGCCTTCCTGGCCACCTACCTGTCCTTCACCACGCCTGACACACTACTGGAGAAGCTCATACGCCTGGTACGCACGCGCACCACATGTCATTGGTCGGCTGGCTGTGTGTGTGTGTGTTGGACTCACCTCCCCCCCCGCCAAACACAACAGTATGTTCGAGTATGCGAAAAGGCCAAGCAACTCCAGCTCAGCCAACAGGAGCACGGCAACCACCAGAACAACAACTACAGCAGCAGCAGCAGAGAATTCGTGGCCAGGCCGCACGACGACTTCGGTGCGCGCGGGCGGGTATCGCGCGCGCAGACGTTCAACAGCAGCAGCGGGTGGGAGGCCTACGCGGGTCCCGGAGCGGCGAAGAAGAAGCGTACGGCCACCCTGATCGGCAACAGCAAGGAGCGACCGCGGGAAGCAGAGGCCCGGGAGCAGCCGGTGGTGCTGCCGCCGTCGACAACATATATGGAGCCCGGCCCTGGCGGCGATGGCGCCCACGCCACTGTCGACACCGATGCGTCGGGACCGCAGCTGACGCGGCACAGGCCCGGAGGCCTGTCGGCCACCGATGGCGAACCGTTGGACGACGATGCTGTGTCGATCGTGGTCACGTCCGCCCCGACGGAGGAGCACGAGCAGCAGCTGCAGCTGCAGCAGGGGGAGGTGACGGTGACGGCGCGGGGGCGGACGGCCACGTGGCTTTCGGCCCATCTGCCGGAGGAGCACGACGAGCACGAGCGGCTGAGCGGTGGTGGCGCGCTGATGAGCGGCCAACACCATCAGGCCTCATCGGCGCCCTCGACGTCTGCGGTCTATGAGGAGCCCGCCAACATCACTCGCCTTCGGTCTCGGTCCGCCGGATTCCCCCACCGCCAGGGTACTCGCTGATCGCCGCACACGCAACACACGCACACGCCCAACTCGCGCGCTCAGTTTCAGTTGTGCTGATGCTTGGTCTCGACATTCTAGACATCCTATTGGCGGAATGGAGGTTGAGGGAGAGAACGAACACGAACACGAACACGAACACGAACACGAACTTGTACAACCCAAGACCCGAAGCCAGCAGCCGGGCCGATACCTCCAAAGGTTTGCGTCGTGTCGTGTGTCGTATCTGTGTGGGTTGCGTAATCGTGCCGCTTATGTTCATGGGCGACACGTGTGGGCGCGTGCGTGTGTGGTGTGCATGCGTGCGTGCGCGATCCGATGCGTTGCAGCGCCAGGTCTCAAGAAGAGCCCACCGCAGAAGAACGCGACGCCAGCCTTGTTTTCCGCCGAACGGTTCCGGCGGGGTTCGACCATGGCGTCGACGAAGGCCCCGTCCGCCGAGCCGAACAGCGCCACCGCCGCCTCGCCCAGCTGGTCCAGCTCCTCCGTGCCCACCCGCCCGACCAGCCTATCGACATCCAGCCTCGCCGAGACCGTACACGCCCCCCTCCCACCCGTTGGTTTACATTTGATTTGCATTTGCGTGTGTTTAAATGAATTATTGGATATATGTATTGAAAATGTATTGGAAATGTTGATCGCATGTAACAGGAGTTGAGGAAGCTCTCCTACAGTCGGTCGTCGTCATCGGTTGTGTCGCCGTCGTCAGTGATCTCGCCGCCCGCCTCGCCTCGCGTACGGGACGAGGCCAACGAAATCTTTGCCAAGCAAGGTACCCACGCACAAACGACGTGACATGGAAATGCATCGGTCGCTAATCATGGGTTGGTCTATCTCGGCTGTGTGTGTGTTATGTGTGTCGTGTGTGTCATGTGTGTGTCATGACAAAATCACAGTGCGCATCTGTTCGCTGCTGAAGAAGTGGATCGAGCAGCACTTTTCCGACTTCAGCCCGAGCGTCATCTTTCTCATGAAGGTCGCCACCTCGATCCCAAATACACGACCATGCTCGCACCACCGCACACGCACCACCGCACACGCACCACCGCACACGCACCACCGCACACGCACACGCACACGCACACGCACACGCGCTGATTGGAAAACCAACGCAACGATCGCTCGGGGTCCGGCGACGACACGTGCAGGTGTTCATCCGGGGCATGATCATCAGAGAGCGCAACCCCATGAACGCGCCCCTGGCCAACTCGATCGTGCTGTCCATGTCCAAGAAGCTGCGGCCGGGGGCCGGCGGTGACTCGGCCAACCAGAACATCTTCCAGGAGTTGCCGCCGGAGCCCGTGGTGCCCAGTAACATCTGCTCGCCGCTCCTGACCCTCTTCGACGTGCCGCCGATCGAGCTGGCCCGCCAACTCACCATCATCGAGTTCGCTCGCTTCAAGGCCATCAAGGTTCACGCACGCACGCACCACCGCACACGCACACGCGCACCGCCGTACACGCGTAAAGGTCTGATGATGTGGAAACATAATTATAATTGTGGTGGCGATGCCAGATGTCGGAGTTGTTCGGTCAGCTATGGTCGCGTTCGGGTTCGCTGAAGGACAAGGCGCCCAACGTGCTGGCCATGATCAACGCCTTCAACGAGTTCTGCACGTGGGTGGCGACCAGCATCGTCACCCAGGAGCGCATCAAGGACCGCGTCAAGACCATGGAATACTTTGTGCGGACCGCCAAGGTAACATAGCAACCACCACTCTATGTTTATTCACACCACACACACGACACGACACGACACACGACACACGACACGACACACGACACGACACGACACACACATTGCTGACGTCATATGGGGAATCAGCATCTGTACAGGCTCAAGAATTTCAACACCCTGGTGGCCCTCCTGGCCGGCCTCCGCTCCGAGTCGGTCTACCGGCTGACCTTCACGCGTGCCGAGATCTCCCGCAAGTCCGAAAAGGTGCACAATAGCTGCACTTTACCCCCCCCCCACCAAACCACCCCCCGTGACGACATGTCCTCACCACTCACACGCGGTGGTGTCCAGATGCTGGAAAATTTGAATCGGCTGATGCGCGCGGACAGTTCCTACAAGACCTACCGCGAGGCGCTCGGACAGTCTGCGCCGCCCTGCATCCCCTACCTGTACCACTCGCCACGCAACGCAACGCACACGGCACATCATTGAGGGGGGGGGGCTTACTCCGTTTCATGTTCTTCAACAGCGGCGTGCACCTGTCGGACCTCACTTTCATCGAAGAGGGTAACCCGGACATGATCGAGGGCCTCATCAACTTCACCGTACGTCGACGCTCGCTCGTCCGCCTCGATACACTTCCACTGCTAACATGTGTGGTGTCGCGTGTGTCGTGTCGCATGTGTCGCGTGTTAGAAGCGGAGGCTGGTGTTCCGGGTGATCTCGGAGCTGTCGCGGTACCAGCAGACGGCCTACAATCTGCACCCGGTGCCGCAGATCGTGGACCTCCTCAAGCGCGAGGGTGGACGGGCGGCCTCCGCCTCGCCGCCGCTGGCGGTGGAGGACCTCTACCGCATCTCCGAGCGACGCGAACCGCGCGGCGCCGAACGCAAGGACATCCTCTAGCGGAGCTTGTAGGCGCAACGCAACACGCGTGTGCCGTTCCCCCCTATGTGCTGCTCCCTATACAACCCAGCTTCTCCTTTTTTAGGTCGTCTATGGTTGCTGTGCACCGGAAGTACCGAGCCAACTCTCGAACAAAACAACCCCCTCACACACTGTCAGACGAACCGTACCAGATGTCGATTGCGGACAAGATTGACGAGAACTACAAGAAGATCGCCGAGGTTAGCCCGTCCCGCCGCCCCCCCCTCATGTGGAAGCTGCAGTGTGTTGCGCCCTGTTCTGAACTATAGATGCGGTGGCGCAGGTGATCAGAAACCACGGCCAGCCCAATCCGCTCTTCCCCAAGGACCGCGACCTCACCTATGGTAAACACCTCCCCCCCCCTCTGTACGCAAGTCAGTTCTGCTCTCTTGGCACTTTGCTGATCAAAAACAATGTAACATTGAACATGATTGGCATGGTGCCTTAGGCGAGCTCAGGTGCGCCACTGCTGTGTGGAACAACAGCAGAGACGAGGTGGGAGGTGGGCGCGAGGTGAAGGTAGCGGCTGATGGTGGAGGTGATGGTGGTGTGTTGTGGGCAGGACCCACCTGGCGAGCACGATGGGGCTGGGCACGGTGCTGAAGAACATGAAGAAGAAGCAGTACGTCGACTTCCAGGACGACTTCATCAAGGACACGACCCTCATCACCCTCATCCACTCCTTCGATGAGGCCATTGTCTCTCAGATCGTCCTCTACCACGAGATTGGCGACAAGGTGCCACATTCTCTCCCACCACCTTGTTACGCTACAGAGTTTATTCTATTTACACAACAAACAGGTGAAGGACTCCACTGATGAGAGCCATCACACACGGACTGCCGGCTGGTGAGCAACAAAACTGTATGGTTGGCCACAAAAAAGTTAAAGAACCAGGCCAATTAGGTGAATGAAAGACGACGCTAAATAATATCTTTTATTATTATCAAAAAAACATGGAGAAAGGAGCAACAGAAGGCGGCGGAGGACAGAAGGTGGTGGCCGGGTTCTCGTGGGTGGTGGAGGGGCTGCTGGCGGGGAGTGCGGCGCCCGGCAGTTTTCCGGCTGCACTGGCGGACGACCTGGCGGCCCTGGCGAGCGCGGGGGTGACGGCGGTGGTGTCCCTCAACGAAGCCCACCCGCCCCTCCAGCCCGAAGCCGACCTCCAGGCCGCCCTCGCCCCCGGCGGCACGCTGCGGGTCCACCTCCACTTGCCCGTGCCCGACTACCGCCCGCCCACCCTGGACCAGATGCGCGGTGAGTTTTTTTATTCCGACGCTACTCACATGTTTGGTGGTTGCACGTCAACCACAGAGCTCTGATGACGCGGTCTGGGTGCACAACCACCTCTCTAGAATTCGTGGCTTTGGTTGAGGAGCAGCGCGCGCTGGGCGGAGCGACGTTGGTGCACTGCAACGCGGGCATGGGGAGGACGGGCACCATGCTGGCGGCCTACCTGATTGCCGCCCAGGGCGTGCCAGCTCGTGAGGCCATTGCCACCCTCCGTCGCATGCGACCGGGCAGCGTCCAGGTGCGCTGCCCCCCCCCACACATGCAACAACACCACCACCAGGTGTCTCGTGACCTGGATCGATGGTTACTCGTCAACCAACCAACCAACCAACCAACCAATCCTCATTATTGATTGTTTGGTGTGTCGGCGCAGACGTTCAAGCAGGAGGATGGGCTGATCGCCTTCGAAGAGAGCCTCCAGAAGCAGCCTCGCCCATAGGCAGGCACCAGGCAGTGTCGCGTGGAGTGAGTGTTATGTATATTCTGTCGATCAAAGAGAAAGAGAGAAGAGAGAGAGAGTGGGCGTCTTCAGTCAGCGGGATTCGAGTCGTCGCCCAGGTCCCAATCGTTTAGCGAAAGTCCTGCATTAGGAAAGAAAATAAATGAGCCAAGCCCACTTCATCAACGACACACGATGGTACCTGCAGGTACTGCCCGCGAGAGCCTCTGCGCTGCCCGCGCGCTGCCCTTCCGCTTGGGCTCCTTCCCCTGACACACACACACGACACACACCACACGCACGACACACACGACACACTAGTGTCAGCCGCCGACGAGCGGACTCAGTGTGTGGTGGTGCTTGCGTGTGGGTGTGAATAGAAGCGGCCGGGGCCTACCTTGGCCTTGGCCAGCTCGCTCTCCAGCCGAGCGATCTCCTTCTCGGAGTCCTTGGCCTTCTGCTTCTGCTTCTTGAGCTCCTACGCGCCACACATACATTTTCGGGTGTGAGCAAATGTGGTGTGTTGTGATGTGACGTCAGCAGCGCCGTGTAGCGGTCGGTGGTGCGTGCCAACCTTTTCCAGGACCTGCCGTCGTTCCTCCTCCTCGTCGAGCTTCTGCTTGTAGTTCTGCTTGTTGTTCTCGGCGCGCGAGGAGGACTTGCTCTTCTCGACCACCTTCTCCTGCGTCTGCTGGAGCAGCTTGAGCAGGTCCCGCTCCTGCTTGGCCAGGCTCTGGTTCTTGCTCCGCTCCTCGGCCAGCTCCCTGTCGCTCTCGGCCCGCTTCCGGTTGGCCAGCTCGAGCTCCGAGTCCTTCTGCTTCTGGTAGGCCTCTTGCAGCACGATCATCATCGCAAAGATCGTAACGATACATTCCTGCATTCCACACACACGGCACACACACGGCACAGGCCCAGGTCAGCACACACATGGCACCACACCAGACACGACACGACACGACACACAACAGAGCGCGTACGGTGTCTTCGTTCTTTTGGGCGATTTCGAGGTCGTGGATGATGTCGCGGAGGGCCTTGCCGAAGATGGGACTGCCAGAGCCGTGCGATTGGGCCAACAGCAGCCGCTGCACCTGCTGCAGCGCATCGGCTCGCCCGCCCAACTGTGCCCCCCCCCCGTGATCGTGTCGTCGTCAGTAATTACCATGCGACTTTGTGTTTCGCGCCAATCAAGAGAGAGCGAAAGCGAAGCGCACCTGGGTCAGCTTCTTGGCCCACCGCTTGGAGACCTTGGATGCCGTCTGAGGTTTGCTGAGTTGCGCGCTCCTCGGAACCGGGCTGCCTGATCGCATCTCCCCCGTTTCCTCCCGCGCCTTGCGGTCTGGCGCTGGTGTTGTGTCATGGGCGTGTGCCGTGTGAGGATTGGTGGGACTGAGCTCTAACCTGACGAGTGTTGGCTTTGTGGGGGGGGGAGGGGAATGGTACCAGAGGTCACGGCCATCACCGTGCTAGCGGCGGTTTCGCTGTTGCGCCGGCCGCTCATCAGTTCGCGCAGGCTGATCCCTGCGCCCTCTTCCTCCGTCTTGCTCTCCGCAGCCTTTCCCAACGTCTAATCAATCATGGGCAGCGCATGTGCATGTGCGCGCGTGCGATCGTGTGTCGTGTGGTGGAGCGTCAGTGCGTCGGTGAGTGCAGTGTGCTGGGCACGCAAAAACAACAACAGCACTGTGGAGGTGGACTGGCACCGCTTCGATGAACCAGGAGGCCGTGGCTTGCGATTTGGATTTCCGGTGTCGCACACGACCGCTCTGCCCGTGCTGCCCGCCCTTGGGCGTCCCGGGCTTGCTGGCCTCGACCGGCCCCGCCTCCTACACACCGTGCAACACACACACACACACACACACACATGCGGTCAGTTACCAATTAATTGGGCGCGTGCGTGCGTGATGGCTCACCTCTTCCGAGTTGTCAATGGCGATGTCGGGGAGGGCGAAGCGAAGGGAGCGCGAAAGCGAAGTGACCTCCCCCGAGTCGGGTGCTGTAGAGAGGTAGTGAGAAGGCGAAGGGGGCATGGAGGGAGTCATGGAGGAGTGCTGGGGCGAAAGTGCGGAGGGGAACTCACCTGCGGCTGGCGGTGCGCTGGCTTCTTCCTTCTTCTTGCGCTTCGACTTGTCCAACTGCAGGAGCACCAGAGGTTCAATGATGTGTGCATTCGCACAAGACACGCTATTTCGTCGCACACGCAGCACGCACACCGCACACACCGCACGCGCAAGGCGCGCGTACCTTGCTGTCGGCACGGCTGAGCCGGAAATCGGACATGGAGCGGCGTCCCATGCCACTCGCCGAGCCAAAAGCCTTGTCCTTGTCCGACTTGCGCGCCTTCCCATCACTCCCCGCGGCTGCGGCTGCGGCTGCGGCTGCGGCTGTGCTGCTCGCGGGGGCGGCAACCGTGTCGCGCCTCGACTTGCCGGCCTTTTGTGCGCGCGACAGCTCCGACGAGGAGCCCTTCCTGCCTCGGATGATCGACCCCCTCTTGCCGCTGCTGCTGCTGCTGTGCTGTCGGTCGCTGCTCGGCGTGGCGGTCGCCGTGTCCCTCTTCGCCCGCCTGCCCTCATCGTCGCCCGCGCTTGGCTGCGTCTCGGAAACTGCATCTACTTCGTGTCGTGTCGTGTCGTGTCGTTGGTCGTGTCGTGTTGTGTGTGAGAGCTCATCTCAGTCACTGTATCCGGTGCTGGGGAGGAGGGAGAGTACCGTCTCGCGGGGAGACTGCAGGGGATCGCGGGGAGACCGCCGTGGGGGAGCGCGGGGAGAGCCACACCTCCTGGGAGCTCAGGAGGTAGTCCCGCGACATCTCCAGCGAGGTGTCCGGCTCGTCGTCGTCCTGCTGCACCTCGTCGTCATCCTGCACCACGACCGCGCATGCTTGAGATTCCACACGTGGTGGTGGTGGATGGGCGAACGACGACGACGTGACGTACGTCGGTCAACGAGAGGTCCAGGTCGGTCGAGGAGGCCTTCATCAACTTCGAGGAGGAAGAGCTGGTGGCTGCTGGGGCCACGTCCTTCAGCAAACCCTCCAGCGGGTTGAATGCTTGGATGCCCAGTTTTTGCTGTTGTGGTGGTTAGAAACCACGTCACTCGCAGGTGAGTGCACATCACCGCCGGTCTGACAACCCAGCGGGCGATGGGGAGGGGGCGGTACTTGTAGCTCTTCGAAGCTGGTGAGACCTCGCGGCGACGAGCTGCCGCCCTCCTCGTCGTCGTCGCCTGTCCACACAAATAACAAAAATACCAAAAGTAAATTGAGCTGTCACTGACGGGGTACGAAGGTTGGTGTTCGCACCGCTACCGTAGCGGAAGCCGCACTTGCGTTGTAGGGCCAGGATACCGCCCGAGATCTTCTCCTGGTCAATCTTGACCACCGGCTCGGCTGATTGCGATGTGGTCGAGCTCACGCCACCGGCGCCTGAACATCACGATAGGGCCACCCACCACCAGCCCACGAACAACAACGATGTGAAGTGGTCCATTGGCGATGGAAGTGATCTTTGTGGGGGAGGGGGGCGAGTACCTCCTTCTACGTCGCAGTAGTTGACTGGGAACTCGCCGATCTCGCCTCCTCGCTTTCCCTTCCACCATCCATTTCGTCGTTCCTCGAGGATGATGATCTCGTCGCCCACGTCGAAGCTGAGCTCGCCCTCCTCCTTGGCCTGGTAGGCCCATACCGCCGTCGCTTTCCACGGCATCTTCGTCCTCTGGCCTCTGAGTGGTCTCTTCCTGTGGTTTTTCCTTCGCGTGTTCGGGTGTGATGGCGGTTTTTGGATTGAAGCGACGTTTCCTTTTCGCGGCTCGCCTTGTGCCCTGTTACAGGGTATTCCACAGTTGTTGCCGTGCAATTGCACTCCAGAGAAACTCCCAAATGAACAAAATGTCAAATAATGCCCGGAAAATTTTCGCGCCAAAACAACGGGCTTACATTCACAGGTTGGATGAGACAAGTAGAACGCGGCGAATGTACCTGGTGTGGTAGGTACCTTTAGAATTGGTCGATCTATCCAGGAAAGGGATAATCGGCCGAGATGGGCATATCCGGCTTGCTGCCCCTACTCAAGAACATCACGCGTAATGTGCATATAAGCCAATACGCCAACCAAAGGGTGGCAATCGATGCCTACTGCTGGCTTCATCGTGGTGCATACTCCTGCAGCACCGAACTATGCCAAAACATCCCCACCGTCAAGTACTTCCCTAGCCCCCCCCCCACCATCATTTAATTGGTTTCATCTTTTCGTTCTAATCGGCAATTGGGGTAGGTACATCAATTTTTGTGTGTCGCGGGTGCAGTTGTTGCGAAGCTTCAACATTACGCCGGTGCTGGTGTTCGACGGAGGAGCACTGCCGAGCAAAAAGGGCCAGGAGGAGAAGCGGCGAAAGTACTTTTCGCCTCCACCAGCTATTCTCCCCACAGCGTGCGAGTTCGTTGGGTGCGCGCGGGGCATCGCTCACATGCGTGTGCATTGCTCGAACAGGAAGCGCCGCGAGGAGCGGGCGAAAGCGGCTGAGTATCTGCAGCAGGGCAATCGTACGGCGGCCAACGATTGCTACCGCAAGGCTGTGGATATCACCCCGCGCATGGCCCACAAGCTCATCAAGGTCCGTTCAGTGTAGCTTACACGCCTGGAACGCCAACAAGTGTGGTTTGTGGTTGCGTTGTCGGCCTCAACGCTCCCCGATCTCACGCGCGCCAATCAAATCGATTGATTGCACTGCAGGCGCTCCAAGCAGAGGGCATCGAGTGCATCGTGGCCCCGTACGAGGCGGACGCGCAGCTCGCCTTCCTGTCTCACACCGGCTACGTGCATTCCGTCATCTCGGAAGATTCTGACCTACTCCCATTCGGTTGCAAGCGGGTTCGCCCCATTCGCTCAAGCCTGTCTTTCGTTCGGCACTCTCGCGGACTCGCATCACGTCCACCACTGACCTCGCAATTACATTACTACGCATTTATACGTAGGTGCTGTTCAAGATGGACGGCGACGGAAACGGGAAGGAGATTCAGCTGTCCGACCTGGGTCAGAACACGCCGCTGCGCTTCCACAACTTCACGCACGACATGTTCCGGCAGATGTGCATCCTCTCTGGCTGCGACTACCTGGCGTCCATCACCGGGCTCGGGGTGAAGAAGGCGCACGGCCTGCTCAACAAGTACCGGACCATGGACCGCGTGTTCCGCTTCCTGAAGAACGACCGCAGCTTCATCGTGCCGCCCGAATACGAGGAGGCGTTCGAACGCGCGGAGCGCACCTTCCTGCACCAGTCCGTCTACGATCACATCAACCAGCGGGTGCGTCATCTTTATTTATTACCTACCTTTTATTACGTGTTACCATTATTATGATCTATATTGGCGCGTGAGCACTCACACGGGTCTCTTGCACAGGTGATCCCTCTAACGCCGTATCCCGACGGGATGGACTCCTCGGCCTTCCCCTTCTGCGGAGCGTACGTTCTTCTCCTGGTCCTTGTCCGTTGGTTGTGGGTGTGTGGGTGTGTGGGTGTGTGGGTGTGTGGGTGTGTGGGTGTGTGGGTGTACACGCAATGTATACATGTAACCGTGTATCTGCGAAGAGCGGGGCTGATATATCATCCCGTTCGTGCAGGCTGATCCCGGACGATCTGGCACGCCTGATCGCCTCGGGCCAGGTGGACCCGTACTCGTATGAGCCCTTCGAGGAGGACACGGCTCCCAAGCCGGCCCCCATGCCCGCGCCCAGCGCGACGCACCATGAGAGCGACAGCGGCGCCCACCTCGGGACCAGCCACGAGCCGTGCGACGAGGACGCCCTGACCATGCGCGCCTCACGGTCCCGTACCTCCCTCTGCGCGTCGTCTGGGTCTTCTGGGAGGTACGCACCGCACCAACCAATCAATTTTTATCTCTTCGCGCCACTCACCACGCCAACTCGCTCTCTATCGCTTTCCAGGAATGTTGTGGGCCGCATGCCCAGCTTTGGTGGTGGTCGCAGCAAGATGCCCCTGCTCCTTCCGCAGCGGAACAGCATATCGAGCTATTTCAGTTCGTTCCTCCCTTCCACATTCCCAGGCGTTCGCCTTGAGCAACTTTGTTGGTCTTTGTGTGCGTGCGGTGCGTGTGCGTGCGTGCGTGCAACCTCTCTCCTCTCTCTCTCTCTCTCTCTCTCTCTCTCCGTATCGTAATGTGCCCAACCCCTCGATTGCTAATTCGTGTGCCTAACCACACAAATATTCTAGCTCCTTCGTCCAGGCGCACGCAGAGGCCATTTGTGCCGCCTCGCGGGTCCCAGTCCCAGTCTCAGTCTTCGCTGGTACGAAGCTTGGCCTACAGTCAGGAAGCACACGTGCGGTCGCGGAGGTGTCGGTGATCTGATGAACGCGCTCTCTCCACTGTTTCGTGTCTTCTCTTCCCTTCGCCAGGACGAGACCTCTGCGGAGGACGAGGTGGTCATCGAACTGAAGAGTCAGGGGGAGGAGGAGGCGCTGGAAGACCAACCGGCGGAGGAGCGATTACCACCACAGGCGGAGCGCGATCGCCGCGTGCCGCCTAGGCCACACGCCGCGCGAGCGGAGGCGATGATGCACGTCGAAACGGAGAAGCGATTACGCGAGGAGGACGACGATGAGCAGGGCTGGGAGTTGGTGAAGAAATCGACCTCCTCCTACGAAGTGCTCGGTACGTTGCTATCTTCGTTCTTCTTCGTGCGTCTTGCCATTGGTTGTGTCTGACCAGGTGCTGTGTGTGCTTCTCCGCAGTGGCCCGCACGCCGTCTCCCCATTCACGCAGCTTTAAGGTGGCGCCGCGACCCCTTCTGGGCGAAGAATCGTCGCCCTCGCGCCGCCGACTTCTCTTCGAGGACCAGGTCCAGGTCGTGGTTACCTCCAAGTACTTCTCCACCACCACGACCACCACAACGACCACCTCCACTTCCACGAGCATCTCCGCTGCCGCCGCAGCCCCGGCTTCGCCGACGTCGACGTCGATGCCAACTCCGACCGCACGGCGACACAGCCCAGCTGGAAGCGCGGCCGCCGTCGCCGCCTCTCCTAGACCCGCTTCGGCCTTTGATTGGCTCGATCGGCCGCTGCTCCTCGACCCGACGGCCCAGTCAGTGGAGGAGAGCGACGAGGAGGACGAAGCGGCGTGGACGGGAGAAGCGGCGGCCGTGCCAATGACCGGCGAGGAGAACCGCAGCGGCGCACTGGCGGCGTTGCATAGCAGCGTACGCGTGACTCCGCCGGAAGCCAGGGGCAAGCAGCAGCGCTCGCCCCCGGAACCGTCACTTTCATCGTCTTCGTCGTCTTCATCGTTGTCGCCTTCTTCGCCATCCTCGGCGCCGACCTCGCCGCTGCCGTCTTCATTATTCTCATCCTCTCGGAAACGGCGGCGGGAGGATGAAGAAGAGGAGACGAACAACCGACTTCGACATGCGCAGGCAGCCCCGCTCAAGAAGGAGCGAACGTCTTCGCTCATGGCCAAGGTCGACGAGTTCCTCCGGAGCGATGCGTTCGACGACTCGCAGCGAGAAGACGAAGACAACGACGAGGAGGAGGACAGGCGGCCGTCGCCGCCGCCCAAGGTCGAGGAGGCCATCGACCTCACGTTCGAAGGTACGTGTGCATGCCTTCGCCCCACCTGATGGCGGTCTCACGATTCGTTTCGTTTCAATTCAATCCGCAGAGCTGCCAGAGTTCCAGAGCCCCATGATCTCCAGCGGCAAGCGTTTGTCGACGCCCCTGGGCTTCTTGTCACGCGCCAAACAGCAGAAGGCACAGCGGCAGACGCCCAGTCCTGGGTACGTCAGTCTGTCTATATGGGCGCAGAGAGTTGTTGTAGAGTTGTAGAGTTTAAAGTTGTTCCTTGGGCAGCACGCCGACGGTGGCCAAGACCGGCGGCAACTCGGTGGGGACCCTCTTCTCGTACTTCAACAAGCACGGATTCAACCGACAAAGCCTGTCTGGCACACCCTCCTCCAGTCGATCTCCATCTCCGTCCTCGACGACATCGACCACGTTGGGTGCGTGCTGTTGTTGGCATTGCTGTCGTTGCAAGTGTGGCGAATTCGGGCGACGTTGGGAGACTGATCGTGGGGCCGCTCTCTGACCACACAGCAGCAGACCAGCCCAAGCTTGAGGAGGACGGCGTTGAGATCGTGGGCTTTGTGCCACGCACACCTGCTTCCACACGCCCCCCTCCACAGAGCAGCCGGCCACCCCAGCAAGGAGGAGGTGGCCTCACCTCGCCCTACTTTGCTTCCTCGACATCGTCAGGAAATAAAAGTTGACACTGTCCTGAGAAAATTCTTACTCCAATCCCAATTTTTTTCGAATTGGTGACTTTTTGGCTTCGTATTGTCTTGGCGCACGAAAACGAGGCTAAGGCAGCATCAGTCATCGGCTTGCCGTCACGCGTGAATCTGACCTGTTCTGCAGGCACGGCTTCACCCCGCTTTGCTCTTGGTCATTTGTTTGCTAATCCGATTTATCATTATTAATTCTTTCGGCACAGATTTTGAGTAATCGAGATGGAGGGGAATGGCTCGTCGTCAGGCGTGTCGCTCTACTCGATGCTTCCGAACGACTGGGCCTCCGGCTCTCGACCGCCCTCCGTCTCTGCTGCTCAGCAACAGCAGCCTTACCTGCAGAGCTTTGCCGCCCACCACGGCGACGAGGACGAAGATGAAGTAGAAGATGAAGAAGTCGAATACGGGCAGCAGGGCTCGGGCTACGAGGACTATGGCGAGCAACAGGAGGAGCACAACGAAGAAGGCGAAGAAGTCGATGAGGGGGAGGAGGCAGAGCAGTCCTACGAGGAGGAGCCACAGCAGCCGCATGGGTACTACATGCAGCCTCAGCAGTCTGCATTCAGCAGCTACGGCAGTGGCTTCGGCTCCGAACACGAAAACGTAGAGCAGGACGAAGAAGTAGAAGAAGAAGAGGAGGAGGAGGAAGAAGCTCACGGCGAGCAGGGCCTGTTGCAAGCAGGCGCGGGCTTCATGGCACCCTACGGCATGCCCTGGTACGCCGGCGCTTCGTCGTCCGGGTCGGTCTCGACCACGTCGGCCTCTTCGTCCTTCACCAACGCCGCCAGCGCCTTCTTCGGCGGAGGCAGCCGCAGCAATTCGTTCGTGTACGGCGGCATGTCCTTCGCCGGCGCGCTCCCAGGCATGGCCGCGCCCGCCGGCACGCTTCCGCTGGCGATGATGGGCACCGACGCCGCCGCGTCGGCCCACGAGTCGCACGACGACGACGACAAAGCCGAGGCCGAGGCCGGGGTGCACGCCGAGCTGAAGGAGTTCCCCAAGCACTCGCAGCCGTGGCACCAGCAGGACGAGAACGACGTCTACCACGCCGAGGAGGAGGTACTCGACGACGATGACGAGGAGAGCCAGGAGGACGACGACGAACCTCTGCCCGTTCCCACCGCCACGCCCGCCATCGCCAGCAGCAGCAGCAGCAGCTCGACTCTGTCTTTGTCCTCGACCAAAGGTACAGCCCCTGTCACCCGATCCGCATCGGACTGGAATGTGTGGAACTCACTTTTCTTCTCCTCTTCTCCTTCTCCTTCTCCTCCTTCTTCGGCAAACAAAGTGGACAAGCAGAAGGAGGTCACTGCCGGTGACTCGGCCGCGGAGGTTGTGTCGGGGCAGGCCGACGAGTCCCAGCCCGACTTCCGTACGTCCACACGCCCGGCCCTCAGCTTCTTCTTCTAATCACTCTAATTGGCCTCGCTCTCGTTTCCGTTGTTGCAGAGCGACCGGTGTGGGTGGAGGACAAGTACGCCGCCTCGTGCGCCAAATGTACAGTAGACTTCAGGTACGTGCGGCTCGCCCCCGAGAGTAATTATGAAGAGGAACACTTCTTTGTCTTTGTTCCTCCGCTCACGAGTGATGGTGCCATCATCATCATCATCATGGGGGGTGCAGCACGTTCAAGCGGCGACACCATTGTCGGGGCTGTGGCAAGGTTTTCTGCGCCGATTGCAGCTCCTGCTTCCTCGGTCTGCCTCCCGACTTTGGCTACAAGACGCCCCAGCGCACCTGCCGCGCGTGCTACCTGTATGTACCCCTCCCCAACCCTTTTCCTCTTTATTTATAAATAAAAAGAATTACTTACTTATTTCTTTCTTTCTCTCTCTTCCATTAGGCAACACTCTACTGTGGACTACACCAAGAAGTACGACACATTCGGACCAGAAGATGCTCCGGTATGCGAGGCCCGCACGTGCGCACTTCTCCTGGCCACCGACTAACGCTTGCTTTTGCCTTGGTCGATCATTCACAGTTGGTCGTGCTGCTGCACGGAGCTGCGGCCACCCGCAAATCGTTCGCCCTCCAAATCGAAGCCCTCAAGGTCTGCTCTCTCCTCGTCCGGCTTGCGCCGTCGCTGGCTCATTTTTATTTATATTTATTTATTTATTTATTTATTTATTTCTGGTCGTCGTGTACATAGTCGGACTACAGGCTGGTGGTGCCCGACCTTCCCGGTCATGGCTCTCGCGACAACCAGCAGTTCACTATGCAAACGGGTACGCGGCACCCCAGGCCAGTTGGTCGTTCTGTTGGCGTGTAACGTGCTGGGGGGGGGGCGCAGCTCAGCTGAGTTCATTTGCTCTCTCCTTGCTGGCGTGCAGCCATGGACGTGGTCGAGGAGGTCATCCGCGCGCATTCGCCTGAAAAGCGAGCCATCATCTTCGTACCCCGCTCCCTCTTCCCTGGCCTCTGTCTGTCTGCGATGATAACAATCGCGCGGTTGGTCGGGTGGCTTACGATCTCTGTTCTCATGCAACAACAACACAACAACACAACAACACAACAACTCACAACTCACAACACAAAACACACGACACACTTGGCAGGGCTACGGGCTGGGCGGATTTGTTGCGATGTCGCTGGCGGGTGCTCGTCCCTACCTGTGCCGGGCGATCGTGGTGGGCGGGGCGGCCAGCAACCAGACCGAACGCGGTGGCCTCTTCCTGGCCATCCTCAGCCTCATGTGGACCTCCATCCCCAAACCGCTCCTCTCGCGAGCCGGCAGGTACGTACCCAACCGCCGACTGGGCCACGACACAACCAAAAGCGATGGCTCACCACCGCCCCCTTTCCCCCCTCTCGCATCGTTGCAGAGTAACGCTGGACAAGTACACCCGGATTTCGGAGGAGCTCGTCAACCGTCTCTTCCTGCGCCCCGGCATTCAGGTGCGCGCCACGCCGGATTCGTTCACGTGCTTACTACTTTATTCGAACGAGCCCACGCCACGTGGCAAAGAGACTCACGCGTGTTCGCTGTTGCGCACAACAGTACGCGGCGTGGCCGGACATCTTGAGTGCCGTCGGCACAAACGATTTTGGAAAACACCTCACCCTCTACCCCGGACCCGTGCTCTTCTTCCACGGCCAGCACGGTACAATTCCCCCTCCCCCCATCCACCCACCCAACATCTTCTGCGCTGTTTCTGCAGAAGCTCGCGCCTCCACTTTCATCACCATCGTCCACTCACTGCCGATCGCTGATGACGGTAATCATCAGATAACCGACATTCCGAGGGCGAATGGAGTCGAGCGGCGCGTAAGGCGAAGGTGGAGGTGATCGACGACGCGGGCCAGTGGGTGCTGGTGGACGAGCGCTACCACGCCCGCGTGTCGGCCCTCGTGGGTGGGTTCATCCAGGACGTGTTCCGGATGGAGGAAGAGGAGGAGAAGCGAAAGAACGAAGAACGCGAGCGAGAGATCGCCCGGCGCAAGTCGGCCCAGCAGCCTCGTGCACCGGCGGCCGGCGGCCAGCCACCACTTCCGGACAACGGCGCCGCCCTCTTCAAGGACGCCGACTGGCTCTTCGCCAAGGAGTGAGTGCGCAATCGTCAGGCTCTCATCGTCTCTGGCCGACGGACGAAGAATTTATTTATTAACAATTTTGAACAATGCGAAATATTTGCGGCGAGTATTACCTCCGGCGGCCCCAGTGAGTTCTTCGTCGTAACGAGCAGCAGAGCAGAGAGAAAGAAGATGTTGGAGTGGCTGGGCGATCTTTTCGGGCTGTTGTGGGGTGCCGTGGTGCTGGTCCTGTCCGTTGACTTCCTGAGCGACTTGCTCCTCCTCTCCGTGCTCTACGTTGTCGGCCGCTACGTCTACGTCGCGTTCCGTACGCCTCCCCCCGGGCTTCGTTCTTCTTGATGTTGTGAATTGATTTTCGCTCTTTTTCGAACTCTTCCGACGATGGACCTCAGGCGGAAACATCCAAAGCGGAAAGGTACTTGCCGCAACTCGAACGATTCAATCATTCACCACAGAATCGCATGACAAAAAAACTCATCGCATTTCTTCACCCCATCTTCATCATCTCAGCCGGCGCGCAGCTTCAAGCTCTCCTCCGAGGAGTTTGGGGCGGTACGCTCGCCCTCACATGCGAACCTACTTTTATTGTTATTCATTATTCATTATTAATTTTCTATTTTCCTATTTTTCCTATTTTTAAACCAAATAATTAATAAAAAACAACAGGGCAAGGAGTTGGACGCCATCAACCCGGCCACCAACGAGAAGATCACTACCGTCCGCGCCTTCACTCCCGACGAGGTCAACGAGTGCGTGAGGCGTGCGCGCGTGGCGCAGGCCGAGTGGGCCGAGACGTCGTTCGACGAGCGGCGCGCGGTGCTGCAGGACCTCATGCACGCCGTGGTCGAGCAGCAGGACACCATCTGCCACCTCTCCATGCAGGACACCGGCAAGACCCGTAACGCCGCCCCCCGCCCCCACCCCGCCCACCACAACTCCATTCCCGATCGATTGACGTTTCAGCTCACGCGTGTGTCATGTGTGTGTGCGGTGGAATCTCAGGAATGGAGGCCGAGTACGGCGAGATCCTCACCACGTGCGAGAAGATCCGCCACCTCATCCGCAACGGCGAGGACGCCCTCAAGTAATCCCCCCACCCACGACCACCACGACCACCACGACCACCACGACCACCACGACCACCACGACCACCACGACCACCACGACCACCACGACCACCACCGCTGTCATTATCGCCGGCCCATCTCTCCGCTGATTCAGCACTGACCCCGATGTGTGCGTGTCGGCTTCCAGGAGCGAGAGCCGCGGCGTCCCGCTGCTGCTCTTCCTCAAGAAGGCCTGGGTCGAGTACTACCCCATGGGCGTCATCGGCATCATCGTCCCCTGGGTACATACATATCTATTTATATTTATATTTATTTATGTATGTTCATCTGCCAATGGTTGACGCCAACTTGTCCAAACCACCATTCTAGAACTATCCGTTCCACAACGTGGCGTCGGCGGCCGTGGCGGCTCTGTTCGCCGGCAACTCGGCGGTGATCAAGGTGTCGGAGTGCTCGCTGTCGTCCAAGGACTACTTCGAGAAGCTGTTCCGCAAGGTGCTGGCCGCCCGCGGCCACAACCCCGAGCTGGTGACCCTCATTGTGGGCGAGGGCGAGACCGGCGCCGCCCTGGTCAAGTCCGGCGTCGACAAGATTCTCTTCATCGGCTCGCCCGCCGTCGGCAAGCGCGTCATGGAGGGCGCCTCGGCCAACCTCACCCCCGTCATCCTCGAGCTCGGCGGCAAGGACCCCTTCATCGGTAATGTGTCACGCCCCGCCTTTTCCCAGGAATGTGTGCGGAATGTTGAAAATGCTGACGAGGAGGAATGGTTGGAATGCGTGTGTGTGCAGTGTTGGAGGATGCTGATCTGGACCACGCCACGGAGGTCGCCCTGCGCGGAGTGTTCGTCAACTGCGGACAGAACTGCATCGCCGCCGAGCGCATCTACGTGCACAACAAAATTCTGCCCAAGTACACCCCCAACCCCCAATCTGCTGTGAATCCCAGCTATTCACCGTAGCGATCAAACCGCGCGCGTCGCCGGCGAACAGGTTCGAGGAGGTGGTGGCCAAGAAGGTGGCGGCCTTCCGTCAGGGCGCGAGCGTGAACGGCGGCTGCTTCGACGTGGGCTCGATGACCATGCCCCGCCAGCTCGAGATCGTCGACGAACTCGTGCAGGCCGCCATTCAGGACGGCGCCAAGGTCCTCGCCGGCGCCAAGCGTGACGAGAAGCCCGGCCTGTTCTACCGGTGCGCGCGCCTCTCTTTCTCTGACGCTGATGCAAGCCAACAAATTGCGCTGACACCGTGTGCGTGTGTGCGTGTCGTTTTGTGGTGCGTGTCGTGTTACGATGGGCAGTCCCACCGTGTTGAGCAACGTCAACCACTCGATGCGCATTGTGAACGAGGAGGTCTTCGGCCCGGTGATGCTCATCATCCCGTTCAGCTCCGACGACGAGGCCGTGCGCCTGGCCAACAGCACCGAATACGCCCTGGGCAGCTCCATCTTCAGCGGCAACGCCGCGCGTGCGCATGAGGTGGCGCGTCGCGTGGTGGCCGGCATGGCGACCATCAACGACTTTGGCGTGGGCTACCTCATCCAGAGCCTGCCCTTCGGCGGCACCAAGATCTCCGGCTTCGGCCGCTTCGGCGGTGCCGAGGGCCTTCGCGAGTTCTCCCGCCAGAAGTCGGTCGTCACCGACCGCTTCCCCGGCGTGCTCACCAAGGTACGTACTTGGTTGGTGGGCGTGTGGCACTGCAACACACGTTTCTCTGTATGGGAGGAGGAGGAGGAGCGAACTAACTTCTAAAATGGCGACGCAGGCGCCGGCGTTCACCAAGTACCCCATCCCGGAGAACGGACCGGCGATCGTGAAGAACGCCATCCACTTCTTCTACGGCCCCGAGAGCCCGTCGGGACTCTGGGCCAAGGCCACGCACCTGTGCGCCATGCTCCAGCTCCTCATCACCCTCAAGTAGATTGATTGAACGGAGGAGTCCAGTCTGATGCCCCCCACAAAAAGAGAGCAAAGGCCGCAGCGATCGAATAAATAACCTCTCACGGGCGTGTTGATCTCTTCCGATCCAATCCGATCACCAGTCGTGTCACTCAGCGTTGACTTCGCCGGCGACCGCTACCGAGTTGTAGTGCTCGCCGAGGGCGTAGTAGTGACGATGGAACCTGTGTACCACCGGTGGTACGGCACACCACACGGAGTGAGCCAGCCTGAACGTTGGTGGCGGGATAATAGGCCGGAATTCGACGTACGTCAGCTGGAGCGGGTCGCGCTGGAACTCCTCCCCCATCTTCAGCTCCGGGGCGTCTGCCGAGTGCACCACGATCGGCACCTGCGGTTCAGCAGCGCAGGTTTGCCAAAATGGAAATTCCAAAATTTGTCAGTGGTGGCGATGAAATGATAAAAGAAGGGAGAAGGGGGGGAGGGGGGTGACAAGTCGCTGCTTCTCTCGATCGAGCGGAGGAGGTGGTCCGTACCTTCAGGCTCTGGGCAAGCGCCCGTAGCTCGAGCTGTCCGCCCCAGACACCGTCGCGCTTGAGCTGTGTGGAGATTTGATTGGCGGCGGCGTTGGTCATCAGTCACCGACAGTTCGCCGCTGGGCAAATGCGACCGTAGAATTGGCGGCGGCGGTGGAGCGGCTTGGGGAGGGGGGCAGGTTACCTCGTCACAGTACTTCTTGAGGCCGCCAGGCGGCAGCTCCTCCCCGGCGATCAGGAACGGCAGGAAATCGTCAGGGTGGTCCAGGATGTAGTCCGCCGCAAGCTGAAATGCCACACACGACACGACACGACACGACCAACGACACGACACACACAACGACACGACACACACAACGAAAGCGGTGAGCGCACGACGAGAAGGGGACAGTGCACGTAGATGGGATTCTTACCCGCCGCAGCTCAACGATCGACTGAGGGCCGGAGAGGGCCGAGCGCTTGATCTGGTCGCCCACGGCACTGTACAGGCAGTTGCCATCCGCCGCCACCTTACAGAGAGAAGACGGGAAAAAGAAAGGAAAACAGATCACCCGGGTAAGTGAGCGACACGGCTACGGGTGAAGACAAACAGGCAAGCGCTGGCCAGCCGCGTAGGTACCTCGGTGATGCGGAGCCCCTTGGGGCCGAGCTTGTCCATGAGGCGCCGGATCTCGAGGGCCTTGGCCGAGGGTCCGGCGTTCTTGCGCTCCTCCTCGATCCGCTTCTCCCGCTCCCGGTCCTCCGCCTCCCGCTTTTGCTGCGTTTTTCAAAACAAAACGAAACAAATGTTCCATGTTTCGTTTCGTTTGCGGGCTGGCGTCAGCAAACCCGTGTGCCGCGAGCGCAGTACCGGGAGAGGTCGAGGAGGTACCTTGCGGCGCGCTGCTCTACTGGGCTTCTTCGGCCCCTTCTGCTGCTCGCCGCTCTGCACATCTCTCGCGATGAGCACCACACCAACAAAAGAGAGGGGCAAAATAGCGCATGTACACGACACACGACACACAGCAGGAAACACGCGAGATGCACGGGCGCAAGCAACGACGAGGCGTACGTCGGGCGTGGGTCCTTTCTCGCCCGGTGAGGGGGCGTCATCGTCGTCGCTCGAGCCAGTCTCGCCGTCGTCGCTGCCGTCGCTGTCGTTGACTTTGGGACTGGGCGGCTTCGGCACGCGCTTGGGACGCAGGGCGGCAAGTTCGCGGTCGAGGGCGTGCAATTCGGCCTGCTGCTTCGCGCGCAGCTCGTGCTCCATCTTCTTCACCTCCGCCTTGGACTTGCCGCGCGCCTTCTTCACCTCCTACACGGTTCCCCATGCGACACGCACAACACGACACGCGCAACACACAGCGTGGCAACAGTGGCGATGAGCACGTGCAGGCCGGTTGGGCACCCGATGCCCGATAGCGGTAGAGGAAGGGGGCCTACTCGGAGCTCCTGCTTGTGGCGCTGCAGCATGCGCGCTCGCGTTTGTGCTCCATCGGCGCCCTTCTCTCCTTCCTCGGCGCTATCGGCGTCGTTTCTTTCCTCCTCTTCTCCTTCCGCCTTTGCGAAGGCATTGGGGCACTCGGGTGCGTCTTCCACAGGCGCAGTGACCGCAGTGCTGGTAGTGGCCGCCGCCTCTTCGCTGGTTGTCGCATGCGGTTCCTCCTCCCGCGCTTTCACAGGCGGCTGGGCCTTAGCCTTGGGCTTGCCCTTGTTGGCAGGCTTGGTGGCCTTCGTGCCTCCAGATTTGGGCAACTTTGCTCTGGGCTTCATCTTGTGTAGAAATCAACGTTGCGCAAACAAAAACACAAAAAGAAATATTTGTTTCCTTGTTTTTCCCTGTGCACATTCGGCGAATGCCGGAGCCGCGGAGGGAAATATGGGGGCACAAGGAGAGTCAGGATTGGAGAATTTGGCAGTACCGTTCCCGCTCTCCCGGCCCCTGTTTTCTGTTGCGGTGGGTGTAACCGCGTGCGCTACTCCTGGTCGGCGGTCGGTTGTTTTCTACTCTCCTCTGTTGCGGTGGATTGGATTGAATTGGTCTCTTTTCTGTCTGTTCGATTCGATTGGCCTCGGTGGTATTCTCGTAGAGCCTTCCTTCTCCAGCATCTCGCTCTACCTACGTACGTTATCTGCTCCTGACACGAGAGAAGAAGAATAATTGGAGAATTGGAAGCCCCAGAGAGGGGCTACAATAGAGACTAAGTTCAATAGAGACGGAGGGAAGGTGGAATTAGTTGAGTAGGAGGCGCGTAGAAGTGTGAAGGAAGAATAATTGATTGATTTTAATTTCTCTCATTCTCCTCTGCCTCCACACATCAGAAAGAGAGAAGAACGAAAATGGGAGACATTGATGTAGATAGCATTATCGAAAGACTCTTGGAGGTCCGAGGAAGCCGACCTGGCAAGCAGGTGCAGCTGGGAGCCCAGGAAATTCGCAGCCTCTGCATGAAGGCGCGAGAAATCTTCATCTCCCAGCCCATCCTCCTGGAACTCGAGGCCCCCATCAAAATTTGCGGTACGTTCAATCAATCCCTCCCTCATTTTTCGTATTCGGACGAGTGCCGCCGCCATCCAATCCTGACGGAATGCGATCTTCCTACGCGACAGGCGACATTCACGGCCAGTACTATGACCTGCTGCGTCTGTTCGAGTACGGTGGGTTCCCTCCCGATGCCAACTACCTCTTCCTGGGCGACTACGTCGACAGGGGCAAGCAGAGCCTCGAAACCATCTGCCTCCTCCTCGCCTACAAAATCAAATACCCAGAGAACTTCTTCATCCTCAGGGGCAACCACGAGTGCGCCTCCATCAACAGGATCTACGGTTTCTACGATGAATGTACGCGCCTCTCCCACCTCCTCTCCATCATCTGACACCTTCTCATTCCTCCCTTTCCCTCTCGCTCTCGGTTGCCCCGTCATCACCATAATCTCGCCTTTTCATCGACGAAGGCAAACGGCGGTACAGCGTCAAACTATGGAAAACCTTCACAGAGTGCTTCAACTGCCTCCCCATCGCCGCCATCATAGACGAAAAGATATTCTGCATGCACGGAGGGCTCTCCCCCGATTTGAAGACTATGGAGCAGATCCGTAGGATCGTCCGCCCCACGGACGTGCCAGACCAAGGTCAGTATCTCCTCGAAGATCTCCCTAATTTGCAAGATTAACTCATTTCCGATGATTTTGACGGCGTGGCAAATTACAGGTCTGCTGTGCGATTTGCTGTGGTCCGATCCCGACAAGCAGATTCAGGGCTGGGGGGAGAACGATCGTGGCGTTTCGTTCACGTTCGGAGCGGACATTGTCACGAGCTTCCTCAAGAGACACGACCTCGACCTCATCTGCAGGGCTCACCAAGTGGTGGAAGACGGTTACGAATTTTTCGCGAAGCGCCAGCTCGTCACCCTCTTCTCGGCGCCCAACTACTGTGGCGAGTTCGATAACGCCGGCGCCATGATGAGTGTCGATGAGACCCTCATGTGCTCTTTCCAGGTACCTGCGCCTCCTTCCACCTCCTTCTCCTCCCCCACAAGCCTTGGTCTTGCTCGCGGCAGCACGAGGACGAGAGTACTAATCTTCTTCACCTTTTTCTCCTCTTCAACCAAACTCGCCACACACAGATTCTCAAACCCGCCGACAACAACAAAAAGTGCGTCTTTCCCCCTCTTTTTAGCGCCATGCCCTCGTCGTCGTGAGTCGTGACAATGGAATCTGACGCGCGCATTCTTTTCTCGTGTGAGCGCAGCTGAGCGTAAGGGGCACGTGGCCGAGCGCGGCAGTGGTGGCGTGAAGGAGAGCAAGGAGAGAGGAGCGACGACGGAGGGCAGAACGGAAGGACCAGGCTTTCGCGCGCAGAGTTTCTGTGAGCGAGAGAGATGTAAACTTAAAGGCTACACCGTGCCGCGCAAGCTGGCCGAGCTGTCACCGCCCCTCATCGGTAGCTGAGCTTTCTTTCTTTCACCGCGCCACCACCATCATCACCCACCATCTGATTCAATCCACTCCACGACCGACCTCCTCCCATTCTCCCAACCTCTTCCCTCTCTTCTCTTCCCCTTCGCCATCGTCGTCGCACCACCCGCCCAGATCAGCTCTTCAATCCTCTTCTTCTCAGCCACCGGTGTCGCGCAGCCACCTCTTCTGTCACAAAAATAAATTTAATTCTTTCCACTCGCACGCCGTTGTACAGACAACCACCACCGCATCTATTCGTTTTTTTTTGTGGAGGGGTGGGACCCCTTCAGGGGAGGTCACTGATGCTCTTCTTCTCGGGGGGTTCGCCGAGGTTGAGCTTCTTCTTGGTCTGCTGCTTGAAGCCTGGGTTGCTGTGCGCGCCCGTGCCGTTGGCGCCTGCAACCCACCCCCACCCAGGAAGGAAAGAAGACTCAGCAAACAGAGAAGACCTTGCACCTGCAATTATGTGGGGGGGGCAGTAAAAAGAGTGCATCGCGTACCCTGGCTGGGCGTCCAGACGACCTCCTTCTTGATCTGGAGCACGTCCATAAAAAGAGTGGGGGAGGGGAGTGAGAGGCTGCCACCAAGATGCAGTGGTTGGAGAGACGCACGGGCTTGGGCTTCTGTGCGTTGATTTGTTCCTCGAAGAACTTGGCCTTGTTGGCTGACATGTTGCCACTCTGTTCTTGTCTTTTCTTTCTCGTTCTGCTTCTTTTGAACAACCTTTGCCCTTTTTTTGTTTATTTCTTTTCATTATTATTTTGCGTAGTGAAACCGGGAAAATAGCACAAGTGCTGGTCTTGTTCAATAACGCGATGGAAGTGTACAGAGAGTTCCGCTGGCCATGGGCGGAGCTAAACGGCCGATGAGGATGATGATGACGATGATGGCCACCATTTGCTATTGGAAGTGGTCGAGGGACACGAGATCGACGTCCTTGGCGAGGGCGGCCAAATCGGAGGACGCTGTTGGGTAGCTGCTGCCGTCGACAAGACGCTCAAAGTAGCCCAGATCGCCCTCCGCCATCTTCTCGCTCCACGCCAGCACCACTTCCGCATCATCTGTGTCGTCCTCGCTCGACGACGACGACGAAGACGACGAGCCTCCACTTGGTGTGCTCTCCTTGCGCTCCTCCTGCGTGTGTGCGTGTGCGTCCGTGTGCGGTGTGCGAGATGGATCAGCCAACGCCTCATTGTGTGAGCGCACGCGTGCGCCAGTGGCGCCGGGCGACGTACGTGGGGCGACGGCATAGAGGCCGCAAGGCGAGCGGGGGTGGGCGAGGCGGAGGGCCGGGTGGGCATAGACTTGCCCATCGGGTGCCGGTGAGACACGGCCTTGGGCGACTTTCGCTTGCTGCGCACGTCGCCCTCGTCGCTGTCGCTGCCACTCGACGATGCAGAAGAAGAATCCGCTTCGCTGCTGCTGTCGCTGTCGCTGCCGGAGCCTTTCTTCTTCTTGATGCTGGCGCTGTTACTCTTCTTCTGCTGCTGCTTGTCGTTCTTCTTCTTCTTGGCGAGGAGCTCCTTCCGCTGCTGCGCCCGCTGCTGTCGGACGAGCTTCACCATCTGCTCGGGGGTGAGGTAGGTCGTCGTCTGCTTGGTGGTCACCACCTTCACCTCATCTCCGCTGTTCTCGCCGGCGTCGTCATCGTCGTCGTCCCGACTCTTCTTGTTCTCGTTCCGCTTCGCCGTTGGCTCATCAGACGACGAGGCGCTGTCGCTATCGCTGTCGCTGCTGCTGTCGCTCTGTAGTCGTGACCGGACGGACCTGACGCGATGGCTCGAGCTCAGCCGCTGCGTGGAGTGGTCCGAGTCCGAATCGCTCGCGGCCGACGCCACCTTGGCGGCGGGCGTCGAACGGCACAGCGAGCGAGCGCGCGTGCGGTCATCGTTCTTCTCATCGTCATCATCGCCGCTGCTGTCGCTGTCGCTCGACGAGGCCAGCTCCGCGGAGGACTGCTTGAGGCGGCGGCGGATGGAGGCGATCTGGGTGCTGTGCGAGCGGAGCAGCTCCTTCCCGCTCCCCTCGAGCTCCGCGTAGAGCAGTCGCCCCTGCTCGCCCTTCGCGCCGCTGCTGCTCGCCTCGAGCTCCCGTCGCACGTGGGACGGGTTCCACGACATCGAGATCTGCTTGGCCTTTCGCTCCCGCTCCCGCTCCCTTTCTCGCTCCCGCTCCCGCTCCTCCTTGTCGCCCCCGTCGTCCTCCTTCGCCCCAGCCCGCTTGGGGAGCTTCCGCGTCTTCTTCAGATCCATCACCGCCGGCTCCTCGGCCGCCGCCGCCGCCGCCGCCGTAGCCGTCGCCTTGAGGTGGTCCTCGCCTTCGAAGCGCGCGGGCTGCTGCGGCTGTTGTGGCGGTTCTTGCGGCTCGCGGGGCGACAGGTCGTCGTCGTGTTTGGCTGCTGGTTGCGGGATGGGCGGCTGTGGTCGCAGGGGCTGGGCGTCGGGCGCCGGCAGGAGCTTGGTGACGGGCGGCGGCCTCGAGGGCCGCGGGGGCGCCGGCAGCGGCTTACCCTGCGCCCCCGCCGCCTCCGGCGTGGTGGCCGTCGTGGCGGCTCGGCGGCGGGGCTCGGCCTTGGCCGCGAATCGCCGCACTTCGGACGACATGCTGGCCAGCCCTCCCTCCACGTCGCCACCACCGCCACCCTCGCCCGCTTCCCCGCCGTTCTCTCCGCCGCCTTCGCCCTCGCTCTGATACTCCTCGCCTGTTCCATGCGTGTCGTGTGTCGTGTGCCGTGTGTCGTGTGCCGTGTGCCGTGTGCCGTGTGCCGTGTGCCGTGTGCCGTGTGTCGTGTGCCGTGTGCCGTGTGCCGTGTGCCGTGTGCCGTGTAGAATGCCGTCAGCCATCGCGCTCGGAGCCACCGTGACCACCGTCCATCGAAGCAGGGGAGGGGGGTCGTGCCTGCTTTGAGTCGCTGGAGGAGCTTCTTCTCCTCCACCATCGACGCGGCCAATCGGAGCGTGCCCTACAAAACAGGAACAGAGGCAGCAACAGGAACAGAGGCAACAGCAACAACAATAAGAATAAGAATAGGAATACGAATAGGAATAATAAGTAAATGCCAAATGGATGGCATAAGCGCGCGGAGGAGGTGAGGCAGGGGGAGGTGAGGCCGGGCACCTTGCGTAGGGTGCGGTAGAAGTCCTTGTACTCGCCGGTCAGCTGCTTGGTGGTCTCGCTCTTGTCGCCCTTCTCCTGCTCGAGCGATGCCCCCCCCCGCGCGGTGAGTCAATGCGCCCTCTTCGCTCTTCTGCCTTCTCTTCTCTCCGGTCTCCAGTCGTCCCCAAGGGGGGGTGGGTGGGTGTACGATGAAGAAGTAGGAGTAGTGGGTGACCATGGTCGAGAGCAGCGCCTGCGACACTCCCCCGTCCATGAGGGCCGCCCTGCGCACGACAACGTGGCAACGACGACATTAAAATAAAAATATCTGCCTTATTATCTCCACGCACACGCACACCGTGGAGAGATTGGGTGGGGGTGGTGGGGGTGGTGGGGGGGGGATGCATACATGAGGTCGTCGTTCTCGGGGCGCAGGAGGCAGGGCGCGAACACGATGGCCAGGTTCTGCGCGTGCATCTTGTTGGTGTCGGCGTGGTCCGCCACTGGTGGTGCACCGAGGTCGATGAGCGCGAAGCAGCAGCAGCAGCAGCAGCAGCAGGGAATGTATCCAGAAGGAAAGAGGGCATTTTTTTGGCGGTAGCGGTGGCGGTGATTGATGGTACCCTTGCGCATGAGGGCGAGGAGGCGGGTGAGGAGGGCCTTGTTGGCCGGGGGCAGCATGGCCATGGTGGTACGGATCAGCTCCAGCCGCGCCTTTTCGTCCGGCACCCCTGCGCACCGCAGCCCAGCCCGTCCATCGACGATGGCCCGTCAGCAGCGCTCTCTCCGCCGCAGTTGTGAATCGGCCCAATGGGGGGGGGGGATAATAGACGTGGGGCACGCACCAATGGCGGACAAGAAGGGCTTGTAGAGCTCGAACGTAAGCAGCGGAATGGGCAACTCTGATCATCGTCGATCACCGGACATGCACACAACGATGCAACGACATCAGCATCGACAGCAGCACGAGGGTGGCGAGGAGGCGGGAGGGTGACACGGGGTGGGCGCTGCAGGCGAAAGGGCGGGGGGGGGTACCGCGCAGGTAGGTCTTGAAGAGACAGGCCACGGTGTGTGCGCGCAGGCCGGTGGTTTCGTCGTCGAGCTTCACCTTCTTGCCTTCTCTCGCCACCACCAGCCACCCAACCAACCATCAGCACCGCCGCCGCCGCCGCCGCCGCCGCCGCCACCGCCATCCGCGCACAGCCACCACTACCGTCCACCAGACCACCACGGCACACGGCACACGGCGCGCCAAGTGCATAGCCGGGCGGAGGAGGCAAGCGGGGGGGGGGGCTGGGAGTAGGTAAAAAGGGGGGTATAGGGGGGGGGGTGCGTACCCTTGGCGTACTTGCGGAGGAGGGCCTTTATCTCGTGGAAGTCGCCGCTGATACGAAATATCCCCTCCACCTCCCACACTGCGCACATAAATAAATTAATAAATAAAATAATAAAAGCATAAAGGAATGGATATTTGTAGTTAAAAATACTATTTTCTGTTCTGCGCTCAAGAATAATTTTTTAATATTTATGCAACAATAAAGTAACGTTTAATGAAGAAGATTATTGGCTAAGGCGGAGTACCGCGGTGGGCCTCGAGCCAGGCAAGACAGTCCTCGATGAGGGGCGGGAGGGCTTGGCTCGAGCGCTGGAACTGCAACGGAGGCGCCCCAGGGCCATATGAGGCGAGGGAGGAGGGGGCACCCTTACTGCTCTTCTTCTTCCCCTTGGGCCATCCGGCCTTGAGGCGATTCATCTATCTATCCCTATCCCTATCTCTATCTCTATCTCTATCCTCTTCCCTATCTCTATTCTCCACGGATGCGCCTTGCTGGAACGCAGATCTTATAAATCTCTTTAGATTCCGGTTGTCGTTGCGGTGGGTTGAGGTTTTTTTGCGGCCCAATTTAGTGGCAGGGAAATGAAGGGAAAATATATTTTCTCGCTGATCGCCAAGGGCTCGCCTTTCCGCAAGCAAACAATAAAAATGGCCCAGTTCGGTGGCTTTCCAGCCATTCCCGGAGGTTTAAACGAACCCGCGGGCTTGCAGGCTTGCAATCTTGCCGCGAACAACTACAGCCTTCATTCCCTCTGCCGGCACCGTCGAGGAGTCACAGAGAGTGACTGACAGGGTCGAGGAACGAGGCCAAAGAGAGAAGGACCCCAAACAAAGAAAACAAAAGCGACCGGGCGCTGACGAGGCAAGGTCCGGGCAAAACGAATCCAGCGTGTGCGTGTGCGTGTGCGTGTTGCCTTCATTTGGAAGGAGAAGGAGGAGAAGACAGCAGTACGGTACGGGCCGACGAACGGAGGTTATCCCATCGCGTCGGTGAGAAGACACGAACTGGAGGCTCCACCTCTCCAACTGACGGGCACGACCACGACGACCAAGTGGCAGATGGCTTCATCTCCCGCTAACCGCCGCGACAAGCGACCCGAGGCTCATCGCCTGGCCGCAGAAGGAGACATCGACGGTTCGTTTTCGTTCTCCTCCCCCCTTGGCACCGAAAGATTTTATTATTTTTAGTATTACTATTATTATTATGCCTTATTTACACGCTTTTATGGCTTTGTTCGTCATTTGGTCGAAGGGGACAAACGAGTGCACGGTCAAACACACCACTCAATTCTGAATTGAATTGTCGAACTGCAGGCCTGGTTCGATTGGTGGAGGAGAAGGGGTTTGAGGAGGTGGTGGGCACCACCGACCTCCGCGGCCTGACCGTCCTACACGTGGCTGCCGATGCTGGCCACCTCGACGTCCTCCAACACTTTGTACTTCACCCCCCCCCCAAAACCCGCCCGATAGTTGTGCGGCGTAGCCGTGGTTGTGCCTGACACGGTGTGTCTCTCGTGCGGGTGAACCACGCACAGGTGATCAACCACCCGTCCAGGAAGAAGCTCGCCGATACACTCAATGGGCGCGACCGATCCGGTTGGTCGCCCCTTATCACCGCCTGCGCAGCGGGCCACCTCAAGGTGCTCAAGCTTCCGTAACTTGTGTCGGTGTGTCGTGTCGGGCATCGTCTTCTCGTTCTCCTTCTCCTTCGCGGCGCGTGCCGCTCTGTTCTATGATTGACATGTGCGAGGAACGGCCTTGTGGGGGGGGGGCAGGTGATCGAGTTCCTGCTCCTCAACCAGAGCTGCGACGCGCAGTTGCGTGCCAGCGACGATGCCACGGCCCTGCACTACCTGGTCCGCCACTTCCCGCACGACTCCGAGGCCAAGAAGGCCTCCAAGTACGTCGCCGTGGCCAACAAGCTCGTACAGAAGGTGCGGCCTGCCCTCTCTCTCTCTCTCTCTCGCCCTCAGCTCTTCCGCGTGCGCGTGCTCATGATGGGCCGTGCGTGTGCTGTGGCGAGCAGGGGGTGGCGGCCGATGGGCGCAACTCCCGAGGCGAGTCGCCCTTGCACAAAGCCGCCCTCGCCGGGCGGCCCAGCGCCATCCGATGGCTGCTGGACAACAAGGACTTCCACATCGACATCAACTCCGTCACCAAGTACGTCACTCGCCTCATCTGTTGCGTTGCGTTGCTTTGCGCTCACTGCGTCACAGGAACGGCGACTCGGCGCTCCATCTGGCCGCCTCGACGGGTCAAGTCGACACCGTCAAGACCCTCCTGCAGGTCGACACCGCCAACCCATGTCTTTGCTTTTATCTTTATTCTTTTCCGTAAATTCTGAGATATATTTTATATATCTGTTGGTGCCGTGGCTCACGTGGCGGGTGGGCGCGGCAGATGGGCATCGATGCCGGGATCGCGAGCAAAGCCAACGGGACGGCGCTCGACGTGGCCAAGATGGTCAAGAACCCCGAGCTCGTGTCGCTCCTCGAAAACATCAAGCTCCACCAACAGGCCCAGCACCAGCAGCGCCACCTCATGGCCGAACTGCAGGCGCGCAGCCCCTCCTCCCCTGTGTGCGTATGTGTGCCATGTGCGTGTCGTGCGTCGCAATCGAAAAAAGGCCAACGCGCGTGTGCGCTGTGTGCTGTGGCCTCACAGGGTGCGATGACCCGCACCAAGACGCCGGCGTCGCAGCTGGTGACGCCCGGGCTGCTGCGGAGTTCGGGCAGCGGGATCGTGCGCCGGCCGACGCACTCCCCGGAGAGCTCGCCCGTCTCGTCGTCGCCGCTCGCCCGAAGCGACTCTTTCAGCTCCGTCGCGTCGTCGCTGGCCGGGAGCGGAGGCGGCGTCGCCATCCGCCGCGTGGAGAGCAGCGCGCCCGACCTCTCACGCCACAACGACGAGGGCGTGGAGGAGTGGGAGCGGGACGGCAAGGCGGCAAAGGCGAAGAAGCAGCGCAGCGAGAACGACGAAGAGGTGCGCGAGCGAGTGCAGCGCACCCGGAGCGAGGCGTCACTCGTCGGCGGAGGAGAGAACAGCGGTGGCGAGGGGCTCTCGTCCCCGCCCTCCCGCACCAGTGCACGCAACGCGGTGCCCGTGTCGCACCGCATGGCCAAGAAAAACGACCTCGAGGGCCTGGCCAAGGACATCGACGAACGCGGCCTCTGGAAGGGTACGCACACGACACACAGACACACATACCGACCCACGCACGCACGCAAATACACGTACGACACATGTGCGCCACACACGGCCTACGGCTGGCAGTGAGGGCTGATCGTGTGGGCTGTTGTGGCGTACTGTGCAGTGCTGGGCGAGTTGGATCGACGCGGCAAGTCCCTCATGCACGTCGCGGTCGAGGCCGGCGCGATGGATGTGGTGCAGCACCTCATCGACACCTACCCCGACGTGTCCCTCAACCTTAAGGACCGGTAACGACGAACTACATCGCCGCCGCCGCACTCGCACGTGATCTTCACCGTTTATTAATTAATTAATTAATTAATTAATTGTGCGCAGGGACGGGTGGACGGTGTTGCACGTGGCCTGCGCGGCGGTGGGCACGTCGCACAAGAACCTGGCCATGGTGCAGTACCTCGTCGAAACCCGCCGATGTGACGTCAAATGCCGGTATGGCGCCTTCTTCCTCTTCTTCCTAACCCAGCAGGACATTTCCAGTAATGCGTGTGCGGTGATGCGTGATTGTCGTGATTGTCGTGTGCTGACCAGGTCGCGGGACGGGTCGACGCCGCTGCACTACCTGGTGAAGAACTTCTACGACGGGGACAATTCGAAAATGTACAAAAAATACTGCAAGGCGGGCAACCTGCTGCTGGAGAAGGGCTGCGAGCTGCTCGACCGGAACGACAAGGGCGAGACGCCGCTCCACTCGGCCGCCCTCGCCGGCCGCGTGCTGGCCATCAAGTGGCTCATCACCAAGTGCCGCGTCGACATCAACATCACCACCAAGACCGGCGAGACCTCGCTCCACCTGGCCACCCAGGCCCGGCGCAAGTCGGCCATCAAGGAGCTCCTCCGCTACGGCGTCAACCCGGCCCTGCGCGGACCCAACGGCACCGCCCTCGACATCGCCAAGCTCCTCCGCGAGACCGAGCTCGTCGACATCCTCGAGGAGTGGGCCGCACACCCCGAGCTCTACTCGACCTCCCCCGACGACGCCGCCGACCCCGACGGGTATGCATGCATTGTTGTCGTTACTGCCATTCTCGAAATTCTTCTCACCTCGCGTGTTGCGTGTTGCGTGTTGCGTATGGTGTGTTGTGTGCAGTGTCAAGCAGCGGAAACACAGTCGGACGATGATGAAGAAGCGGGGCACGATCATCAAGGAGAAGGAGAAGGAGCGGAGCCGGGAGCGGATCAGCCACGAGAAGCAGCTCCTGAGCAAGAGCGCCGAGGAGCCGTCGGACCTTCTCAGCCGGGACCGGATCGGCGCCGCCCCGCTCTCGCCGCCCGTGGGCCGGCCCGAGCGCGTGACGCTGTCGAAGAGCATGGGCGAGGCCACGGGCACCAAACTGCTGCGGTCGGCCACCAAGACGCGCGAGATGCCCGAGGCACACCGCCTGGCCAAGGCCGGCGATGCGGAGGGCCTCGTGCGGCTGGTGCAGGAGCAGGGCCGCGCGGCGGTGCTGCGCACGCTCGACTGGCGAGGCCAGAGCGTGCTGCACATCGCCATCGACCAGAACAACCGCGCCCTCACCCAGCGCCTCATCGACCTCTACCCGGTCGACCAGCTCGAGGCCGACCTCAACCTCCGCGACAACAACGGATGGAGCCCCGTACACGTCGCCGCCGGTACTATTCCTGCTACCGCCCCACCCAACTCTCGACCCACGCACGTGCTTGTTAACACGCACACGACGCACACGACACACGACAGCGTCGGGGAATGTGGAGATGCTGCTGCACCTCCTGTCGAGCAGTCGGTTCGACGTGACGGCGGTGTCGTCCGATGGGTCCACTCCGCTCCACTACTTCATCCGATCCTTCCCCGACGGACCGTCGTCCCCTGCGGTGGGCTCCACGGGCGCGCCGGCGGCCGATGGCGACGCCAACGCCACCAATCCGGTCGACCGATTCTCCTTCGCCGTCCGGCAACTCATCATGAAGGGTACCGACCTACCAACCCCCCCCCCCAATCCACCCCCAGTGACATTGTGATGGTTGGGGGGGGGCTTACAAACGAAACATGGGCATGCACTGACCCTTGTCTATTTATTACACATTATAATAATAATCAACAACAGGGGTGGACATTCGGGCGGCGAACAAGAATGGGGAGACGGTGCTGCACCGGGCGAGCCTGTCGGGCAAGGCCGCCGCTCTGCGCTGGCTCGCGCTCGAGGAGAAGTGGGCCATCGACATCAACGCCACCACCAAGTACGCCACGTCTCTCTCTCCCCCCCCCGCTCGCGTGCAACAACCGGGGGAGGGGGGTTGTGATTCTGACGCGCGCGTGCGTACGCGTGGATGGGAGCAGCTACGGGGACTCGGCGCTGCATTTGGCCGCGCGGGTGGGGTCGGTCGAGGCCGTGCGGGCGCTGCTCGAACTGGGGATCGACGACTCCCTCCCCTCCCAACACGGCACCGCCCTCGACGTCGCCCGACGCGCCAACCACAAGGTACCGTACCTACCTACCGACCACCACACCCAACCTCCATTGGCTGGCCATATCACCCCCCGAGCGCCGATTGGCTCCTGCTGTTGGGGACCCCGCTCACACGACACGCGTGTGGTGGCTGGTGATTGGTGGCTGGTGGTGCAGGAGGTGGTGCGTCTGCTCGAGGAGTGGACCCACGAGGCGCCGAGCCCACGCATGCGGCGGCTCACGCTATCGGACGTGGGCGGCATGGTGGACCACATCTTCAAGTCGGCCTACACCGAAGCCTCCAAGCCGGTCGACGGCCACGCCGGTGATGCCGACGACGACGACAACGACGAAAGTTCGTCGTCGGATCTGTCGAGCATGTCGGCGATCGGGAGCGAGGCGTCGTCGCTCAAGTCGTCGCAGAACGGGACGTCCAACCCGCCGTCGCTCAACTCGTCGGCCTCCTGCCTCGACCACTCGACGCTCATCGAGAGTATCGTGGCCTCCCTCTCCGCTTCCCGCGGCGGCGGCTTCGGCGGCAAGGCCTCGAGCGGCGGCGGCGTGGAGGAGGCCGCCTCGTCGCTCAAGTCCTCGCAGAGCGACTACTCCAACCCGCCCTCCCTCACCTCGTCGGCATCGCACGTCGACGCCTCGTCCGCCATCGACAGCCTCATGGCCTCCATCTTCGACAATTAATTGCGACCCTCTACCTCCCCCCTTCTTTTTTTTTTGCTGTTCTTGGCTGCGCGTTTTCTATCTCTCTTCTCTCTCTATTAAATAGTTCCGGTCGGGCCTACCGCCGGGCCAGCCTCCTCGTGCAGCAGCAGCAGCAGGCCTTTGCCATCTCTTCCTCTTCTCTTTTCGTTTGTCTCGTGGCGGCGGTGGCGGTGGTGGTGCTCTCAGTCCGCGTCCTTGCTTGCCTTTACCTGCTGCATGCATCGGCCGAGCAGCACGACCCGCAGTCGGTGTCCAGCACCTGCGAAACGGCGGGGCACGCCGGCGTGTCAGTGCACCGGTGGTGGCACACACAGAGAGGGAGAGGGAGGTAGCGCGTGCCTGGCGGACGTCGGCGAAGAGGGCGGCGCAGTAGTAGGTGGAGGCAAAGGTGCAGGCCATCATGATGTTGGAGAACCGGTTCTCGTGGAGGTCGTCGCCGGCGAACTGTTGGATGGCCCTCCTGCCCTGGCTCGGGGTCTTGGCCTTGAAGAGCACCACCTCGCACTGCGTGGAGCAGTAGCCGTCGTCGGAGCCGAACACCGACGCCCCCGAGTCGCCGGTGAAGGGATCCGGCTGCTCCCAGTCCAGGTCGCACGCCCACGTCTTCAGCTCTTCTCCGTCTTCCTCCTCCACCGTCGACTGGTCGCCCGAGTCAGCAAACACCTGCGACACGTACTTGACACCAGCCACCGCCGGAATCACTGCGTGGGCCAGGTTTGGTTAAGGGTCGAGGTGGATATTGAATTATATATAAGTTATTGGAGTGAGAGACGGTTGGGACGGGAGGCGCACCGGTGTTGGGGAAGAACCACCCTTCCGTGCCCTCTGTGCCGTTGGCTGTTGGTGTGGACCAGGAGGTGAGTGGGAGATATAGAGTGGATGCGTCTGGGGTGGGAGGTTTAGGGGCGGGGGGGGGGGCAATATGTTCGAGAAAGTACCTCCTTGGATGCGGTAGGTGGTGATGCCGGCGAGGATGTGAAGGACGTGCTGCTCCTCCCTCGCATCCATGGGGTCCGGCATATTGAAGTAGGTCCACCGGTTGCGCGTGCCCAGGCCTCGCTCGACAGACCGGAAGGAGCTCCAGAAGTTGTCCATGCTGCTTGAGGACATCACCTCTATCTGGATATGTTTACACCCCCCCAAAGGAGACCAGACCATCGTCGTCGTTGAGCTATCTGTCTCTTTCGATGTCACCCCCACTCACGGCGATCCACAGTGGGGGGGGGGATCGCACCTCTGGGAGCGGTGCTGTGGAGGAGAGGGAGACGAGAGCGGCCACGAACATCGCCAGCAGGCTCAACCGAGCGCCGGTGCTGACATTCATGACGACGATGATGTGGAAGGAATGGAAGGAATGGAAGGATGGAAGGACAGGAATCGAAGAAGAAGAACCGCTCTCCCAAGAGATGTGTGCGCCTCCTCCCTAAAGTGGTCCAGGCGCCTCTTCGCCAATCGGGCATCGGACTTAACCTAACATTCCTCACCCAAAAGAGTGGCTGGAATGAGAGGGAAAATTTTATTCCGCGTGGTGCTGCTGGTGGCTGGCCACACGCGTGCGTGTTCTGGTTATGTTACACCTCGAAGGGGAGAGCCTTCTTCTCGACGCCGGCCTTCTTGAGCACGGAGAGCGACTTGCGCCTCTCTTTCTTCGTCTCCTTTTCCCTTTCCTTTTCCGCGCGTTTCTTCTCCTTTTCCTCCTTCTTCTTGGCCTTTTCCTTCTCCTTTTCGCTTTCCTTCTTGCTGCCGCCGCTCTTGTAGATGGCGGGCGGGTTCTTGCGGCCGCCGGCGCTCATCCGCTTGGTGAGGCCGCCCTCGTCGGAGCTGAACTGCTCGGATCCGCCTGACGACAGCCGTGCCAGCGGCGACATCGAACCCGACGGAGGCCCGCCCGCGGGGAAGTCCTCCGGAATGAGGCGCACCACCGTCTGCAGGATGTCCTCCTTCAACTTGGCCATCTCCTGCTCCACCATCCACCACACGTGCCACGCACCACCACCGCACACAACGTCACCATCGCCGCCGCCGCCGCCGCCGCCGCCGTGAAGCGCTTAGCCTCAATATGTTATTGAGGCGAGGCGGGTCAAACGAACCTGGTTCACGAGCACGACCAGCTGCTGCTGCATGCGCTTTTCGAGCTGGGCGATGGCGGCATCGATGTAGGCCTTGTCCACCAGCTCTCCCGACGACGACGTCGGCGAGGAGACCTTCTTCACGATGCTCGCCGGCGGCTGGCCGCCCGTGGAGTCTGCGCATAGTGGGGAGTGTGTTACAGCACACACGCCACACGCCACACGCCACACGCCACACGCCACACGCCACACGCCACACGCCACACGCCACACGCCACACGCCACACGCCACACGCCACACGCCACACGCCACACGCCACACAAACAACGACCAGCCACGCGAAGGGAGGGGTACTGGTCTTGCGGTGAACGGGCCGTATGGCGCTGGTGGCGGGCGAGGTGGGGGAGCTGCTGACGCGGGTCGGGGTGGGCGAAGGGCGCATGAACTGGCGGTGCACGAGGGTGTCGAAACCGGCACCACCGCCATTGCCATCGTCGCGCGCCGGCAGCGGGGGCGGGGAACTGCTGGAGGCGGCGGCCGAGGGGTTCATGAACTGGCGGTGCACGAGGGTGTCGAACCCGGCGCCGCTTCCGTCGGTCGACTCGTCGTCATCTGCACAGCGAACGTGGTAGGGTTGCACAAAGAACGGCGAACCGTTGGCTTCCCCGATCAAAACCCTGAGTCTCCACACGCACGCAGGGACGCCGCCAAAAAAAGAGGGGGGGGAACGAAAACGACGGCAAGGACGTCGAGAGAGAGAATGAGAGAGGCGCTACCAGAGCCATCGTCTTCATCGTTGTCGTCGCCGCTCACCATCATGGTGCCCCACATGGTCGCTGCTGCGTTGCCACCTGTGCACCACCACCGCCATTTTTAATATTGGGGGGGGGGAAGAGAGAGCGAGCGAGCGAGAGAGTCAGGGAGGCAGAGAGCGCGCCAACTGGAAAGAACACGCGGGGCATCGATGGAGGGGCGTACCCAGGCGGAGGGTTTTGACGGCCATGGTGGCCATGGGGTCGCCATCCGAGTCGTCGCCGTCGCTGTCGGATTGGGTGACGAGCATGGTCGAGCACACGTCGTTGCTGATCATCGTGCCATTGTCGGCGTAGACCATCGTGCCGTGGTTGCTCCCACCTGGCGTATATGCCCCCCCCCCCGATACATCGATGGTGATGACATTGGTGGTGAGTCTGCGTGATGTTGTGCGGCGCTGCTGGGCTCTTCTACATCCGCCCCCCCCCCGGTACGGCAAGGGAGGTGTGCAGTTGAGAGTAAGAGAGGAGGTGGTGTTGGGGGGCGGGGGCGGGGCGCGGAGGTACTGGGGGTGCCGGGCGCACTGTTCGAGGCCTTGGCGTTGTCGACCGGTGCCTCCGACGCTGCCGTTTTCTGAGTCGAAATGAACGACGAGAGGAAGGATCGCCACGAAACAAGGAATGAATACAAGAACGAAGGGCTGTGTGGTGCACGGACGGGAGGATCAGGTGGTGGTGGTGGTGGTGCTGCTGCTGGTGGTGGTGGCGGCTGGCGGTGGCGGCTGGTGTGTGTGTGTGGTCGGTACCTTGGCGGCCTGCTCCTTGAGCTTGAGGATGAAGCACTCGTTGATGCGCTCCTTGAGCGCCCCGGACCCGCGGGAGCCCCGGATGAAGGCGTGGCCCAGGAGCTCGACGCAGTCCGGCCTGTTCTCGGGATCTGGCGAGACGCACGGCCAAACAAAAACGTTGGCACGAAGGAATGCACCAACCAGGAAAAAAAGGAAAACACGTGGCATCGCAACCAAATGCACTCGCTCGCGGTCATGTCAAACCCGAGGGGGGCATCCGCGGGAAGGGGTGCCGGCGCACCTTTGGTGAGGCAGAGGGCGATGAAGTCGTTGAAGTCCTTGGACCACTTGCGGGGATCGGTGAGGGTGGGCGGTGGCCGCTGGGGCACCAGTCGCATGGCGCGCATGGGATTCATCTCGTGATTGGGGGGCAGCCCCTCGGCCATCTCGATACTGCGCCCACCAAAGAAATGAGAAGAGAGAGAGAGAGAGAGAGACCACACAGTGTAGATGGCATACGCCGGCGAGAGAGAGTCAGATCAGGGCTGGGGAGGGAGGGAGGTTATTAGGGGCATGGTGGTGGTGGTGGTGGTGGGGGGAGCGAACGCCGTGATTCCGAGAGACCACACGTCGCAGCGGTTGTCGTATCTCTTGCCCAAGATCACCTCCGGCGCCTGAGGTGGTCACGAACGGAGACCGCCGACTTAGCCGACCACGGGGTACATGGGAGGTCACGCGATGCTGGGAGGTGCGCACCATCCAAAGGGGCGTGCCGATGCGGGTGTCGGACTTGGAGACGGCGTCGGAGAGCTGCTCCGACACTCCGAAATCGGCGATCTTGACGGCGCCCAGGCCGTCGAGGAGGATGTTGCCGGCCTTGACGTCGCGATGGATGATGTTCATGGAGTGGAGGTAGAGCAGCCCCTGGAGAGACTGCTGGAGGATGTAGGCGATCTGATCCTCCTTGAGGGGCTTGTTGCACAGCTCGATCATGTCCCGCACACTGCCGATGTCGCAGTAGTCCATCAAAATCTGCGCTCCCAGAGAGAGGTGAGCGCACGATGCCACCACCAGCCGCCACCACCACGTGTGTGTGTGTCGTGCGTGTCGTGTGTCGATACCCAGAGAGAGCTGGCGAGCTGGCAGGTGCCGAAGTAGCACACGATGTTCTGGTGCGAACACTGCGCGATGGAGTACAAACGGAATCAGCAGCTGAGGATGGGGATATTTCTAACACACTGGCGAGATAGATAGGATAGGATAGGATAGGATAGATAGATATACCTTCTTGAGGATGTCGATTTCCTTCTGGAGCTCCTCTTGGTTGACGAGGTTGGGCAGCTCTTTGATGGCGATGACCATGTCCGTCTCGCGGTGAACGGCTCTGTACACGGCGCCGTAGGCACCCTCGCCCAGCAGCTCTTCCTTGGCGAACACCTCGTTGGGATCCTTCCCCGACCACTGCATCTCGTGGTTCACGTGCACCACCTGTCACCATGCAACCACGACACAAGACAAGTAACCCCCAACCCAACCAACCAAACAATCAACCAATCAACTGACCACACACGAGGCAGCGATACAAGAAAAGTGGAAAGTGAGGGGGTCGAGGGGAGCGCACCCGCTTGACGTTGAGCGGCACGGAGACTCCCGACACGGCAGAGGTGGTGGGGCGCACTTTCTCCTTCTCCTTGCTCTTCTTCTGCTTCTCCTCCTCCTTTTTGACGCGCTTCTCGAGCTTCTCGAGCTTCTCGCGTTCCTTCTTCTCCTTGCGGCTCTCCTTGCGGGCCGCGGGAGGGCTGCCCACGTGGGGCGGCGGGAGGGGCGGAGGAGGGGCTGCAGCCACGACTTTATACACACATGTTTCAAAAAAAAAAACGTGAATATATGTATGTAAAGATATAGATATATCAAAGTAGTTGATCGGACGATGTGGCTGGGAGGGGTGCGGCACGGACAGAAGGAGGAGCGGAGATGTACCGGGTGGGGGTACAATGGGTAGGGCGCGCGCGATCGAGGGCGAGTTGCCGGCGCTCTGCCTCCGCTTCAGCACGCCCTGCTGGTCGGTGAGGATGCCCTCCAGCTGGTTCTTCGTCACCGTGTTGATGAGCGACTTGCGCAGCCGCACCCCGCGCACCGACGGCGCATTCAGCAGCCCCTCTGCCGCGCCAATATTAAAAGTATCATTATCATTATCATTATTATCATCATCATGAATGATCATAACGCCAACGAAACGGTATTGACAGTGATAGTGACAAAATAGCCACAACGTTGTTGAGGAGGACAATAGTCGTACCGAGCTGGTAGAGCACGAGAGTCTCGTTGGAGGGGAAGGGCTTGCTTCCCCGGAGGTCGTCCTTGCAGCCTCCGAACACCACCACCTTGCTCTTGCCTGCACCATCCACCGATGGATGGGGACAGGGACATGGACATGGACATGGCAAGGTGCGTCAGCCTCCCTCCCCCCCATCACCACCAGCCCGGATGGGGGAGGGGGCAATGAGGTACCAAGGAGGGCTGTGGCGTGGTTCGCAACGCCCACGCCCTCGACTTCCGAGGCGGTGACCCGATGCTGTGACCACGTCGCCGAACCTGTTTTAACCCGCACCGGGCATGGTGGTGACCACGCGCATCAGGCCACAGCGGTACATCGCACGACACACGAACTACAGACGACCACACAGCTGCGCATGCCACATATGAGAGGAAAGAGTGGTGGGCACCACGCACCGATGTGGAACACGTGGAGGTCGCTGTGCGAGAGGAGCGGGGAGGAGGCGGGAGCGGGCTGGCCTCCGAGGAACACGATGGCTTGGCCCACCGCCGTCCCCGAATGGTGACTACGCGGCGACGGCGGCGTGCCCGTCACGCCGTCGCCCGCGTGCAGTCGCTTCCACGAGCACGACTGCGGGTGGAACGCGTGCAGGTCCCCGAACCCCTCCCGCCCGTTGGTCCCTCCGAACGTGTACACAGCTCCATCCACGCCTGGCCCGACGCACGCACGCACACACGGACTGGTGTTAAGCCTCGACCGACAAACACGGCCCTGCGTGCGGTCCCAGGCAGCACGCGTGCGCTAGTGGTCCAGGGTACGTACCGGTGGAGGAGTGGTGAGCGCGAGGCGTGGGCGCGTCTCCGGTGCTGGTCTCCTTCTCCCAACGGTGCGTGTCTACGGCGGCGGTTGGTTGGTTGGCGGGGGGTGGTGGTGGTGTGGTGGTGTGGCTGGTGGTTGAGGTATTGGGGGGGGGTACCCGCGTTGAAGGCGTAGACGCTGTCGCACGGCAAGTAGGCGCCCGAGGTGGAGCGTCCGCCCCACAGGTAGACCTTACGCCCGACGGCCACCGCTGAGTGCCCGCAGCGCTCCTCCGGAACGTCGCCCGCCCCCGCCACGCGCCGCCAGCGCCACGTCACTGTGCGCCACCGCAACCAGAGCCAGGTGTTAACTGGGTTGCCGCTGCCAATGTGCCCACATAACACCCTCGCCGTAGAAGGTCCGGTTGTCACCGGTGACGTACCCAGGTCGACGACGTAGTGGTCGTTCATGCAGCTCGTGCCATCCCACCCGCCGAACACGAACACCTTCACACACACGCACACACGCACCCGTTGATTTCAGCAGACATGCTTCCCAACCATCACCGCTACTCAACCACGCGTGAGCGTAGCGTGCAGCACGCCGGAGGGAATCCGCGGGGGGGGGCTGTACCTGGTTGTCTACGGCGACGGCGGTGTGATGGGCGCGCGCGGGCGGGGCGTCGGTGGTATCTTGAAGGGGTCGACTGTACTTCATGCCTGGCGCCCACGCCAATCGCCATCATTCCCAACATCGTGAAGGATCAGATGAAATAAAGAGAAAAGGGACAAGAAATAAAAATAAGGGGGGGGGGCAAAGAACGAAGGCGGGGTTAGGTACTAAGGTCGAGAACGAAGGCGTCGCGGAGAGGCCGCCCCTGCGCATCCTCGCCGCCAAGGATGAGGGCCGAGTCCCCGTTGTTGAAGGCCGTTAGGGAGTGCCCGAAGCGGGGTCCTATCGGCACATTGTTGCTCACCCCGTACCACGCCATTTCCCTTCTCTCTCTCTCCTCTCCCTCGGGCGCCTTTCTCAATCAATCTCCCTCGGGCGCTCCTTTGCTCCGTGCTTCTCTTCTCTCCTTTTCGTTTTCGTGGTTCCCCCAAGAGATGGCTTCGTTCTTTGCCCCGGCGACGGCGCGTATCCTGGGAGAAGGCGCCACCCTTTTTCTTCTTTTTTTCCTTTTTGCTTTTGGGCTCTCCCTGGAAGCCAAGTCCTCAGGATGGCTGATCCTCCTCGCCGCTCCTCGCCGCCGCCGCCGCCGCCTCCTCCTAGTGGTGGTCACCCGGCTCCTGCTGCTCCAGCTCGTCGTCCTCGTGACCTGCTGCTGCGGTGTTTCCATCCTGCTCCACCTGCGTCGGGGCGTGGGCGGCAACTGGAGCCTGCTCCTCTTGCTGGTGGTGCTCGGCCAGGGCGCCACCATCACCACCGTCGTCATGGGGCGCTGCTGCTGCTGCTCGCCGCTCGTGGCGCGGGGTGTTGAGGTCCACGTCCTCGAGAAGAAGACCCTCCTCGTCGTTGTCGTCGTCCCGCTCCTCCTCCCTGGCCACGAGCAGATCCTGGCGGGGCGGCTCCTGCTGACATTTGCCTCCAAGACCCGCGTCCGGTCGCGTCTCGCCGTGATCCGCTCGGCCGCTCGGGATGACGAGGCCTCCCGCAGTCTCGGAGGCGTGCACGTCGTCGTCGTCGTCGTTGCAGTGGGTCGCTTCCGGGGAGCTCTTCTGCTGCTGCTGGTCATCGATGTCGTTGCGGTCTTGCGGCTGCAGTCGGACGGGGATGGTGGTGCCGGAGGTGGAGAGGGGCGAGGAGGGCAGGAAGAGAGCGCGGAACGGGGACGACGGGTCGGTCGAGTACTGCTTCATCATGAGGCTCAGCCGCCGCCGCTTCTCCTGCGCCCGGCGCAGCGTGGCTCCCTTGAGCCGCTCGTCGAACTCGCGCAGCATGGCCCGCGCGATCTCCTCCTCCTCATCGGCCTGCGCCTCTTCACTGGCCGCGGCCGCCGCCAAGATCTGCTGCATGATGGCCTCGTGCGACCCGCTCCCATCTCCGCCCTCGTCTTCGTCGCCCTCATCGCCGTCGTCGTCGGCCAGGTCCGCTTCCTTGCGGCCACCATGCGGGAAGACCAGGTCCAGGAGGGACGAGTCCGACGGCAGCACTTGCTTCACGACAGCCCCCTGGAACTCCTTGCCTGGCGCACATCACAATGGGGGGGTTGGGAGGGGGGAGGGAGGCGCAGGAGCGAGGGAAAAGTGAGGCGAGGAGCGAGCCAAGCCGCCTTTGCTGCGGAGATACGACCACGACCACGACCACGACGGGGCGGAGGGTGGGGGCGCACCGTTGATGGCGTAGAGATTGTCGCCCATCCGTGCGATGGTGAGTCGACTCTTGTGGTCAAAGTAGAAGGGCTGGCCATCGGGCAGCTGCTGGAGGGTGAACACCACGATCCCGCGCTCCTGCGCTCCCTCGACTTCCACCGACGACAGCGGAATGCCTGCGGTTGCAGCAGCCGCAGCATAGCAGGAGGAGGTCACGCGCCGCCCAGAACCACCGAAAACGAACGAACGAACGAATGAACATGCGTGTGTGCGGGCCACACCGCGCTGGCAGAGGGAAGCGGGAGCGCGGAGGGTGGGGGGCATTCGCACGGCGCACCTTCGTAGAACTTCATGCCGCTCAACCGCTCCACCTCCGCCTCTGCCGACACCTGGGTGTCCTCCTGCACGATGGTGATGACGATGACGATGATAATATGGATCACAAAGGCGACAAAGAATGGATCAGCGACTGAGCGGACACGGACTGGCAGCAGCAGCTGGAGGAGGGCGGGGGCGGTGCGTAGGGGACGCACGAGAAGGAGAGGTTGCTCGCCGTTGAAGGTGAGGATGCCTCGGCTCACATCAAAGTCCTCCTCCTCGGGGATGGCCAACTCGATGGTCTCTGCGCACACGCACGCACGCAGGCACGCATGCGACACAATTTCTGTCAGCGCGAGGGAGCTCCAGGTGCTGCGGCAATGGGGTGCGTGTGTGTGGTGTGCGTTGTGTGTTGTGTGTGTCGTGTGTGTGTCTTGGTGGCGGTAGTGTAGACGGCGCCGTGGGTGCGGTGTGGTGCGTACCACCGAGGAGCACGTGGGTGTCGGAGATGCGACGCACGCAGTTGCGGTTTTCGGTGTACCACGTCTCCCCCTTTTCCAGTTCGCGCAGCGAAAAGATGACACGCCCCTGCAACCACCACGCATGAGTCCCAGAGCCCCTCCGTCTCAGCGTAGCCTCCGCCAGAAGGGCACCACCACCACCACGAAAAGCGCGACACTCACACCCACCATACCACGGACACACTACACCAGACACAAACACACACACACATGATGGGGGAGGAGGTGGCGGGGCATGTTGGGGGGGGGGTCGCATGCCTTGCGGTGTACGTCGTATACGGGGAGGCCGTAGCTGATGGGGCCGCTCAGCGTCACCGAGTCCACGGAGAGGCCCAGCGCACCTATCGACCCCGACAGAGAAGGCGAGGGCGAGGGCGAGGGCGTGTGGGCAGGCAGGGGCGACGAATTTATCTCCGCTGCTGGCCGCGGTGCCCGTTGCGTGGGGGAGGGCGACGCGGCCTCCTTGGCCTGCCCTTCCTCGTGCTGTGTGGTGGGGGCTTGCATCCAAACGCGCTGCCGCCTCCTTCTACTTTTGTGTGCTGCTGCTCGTGCTGCACTTCGTTTACTTGTGCCACGGACTCTCCCTTCTGGAATGCTCATGAATTCCAAGCATTCTCTACAGGCACCGCTGAAAAAATTGCGCCCACCCCCAAACGACACAATAAACTAAGAGATGGAGCTGACCGTGGATGCCGCGGCGGCTGCTGCTGGAAGCTCCCCACCGCCGCACGACTCATCAATGCATCACCTGGTGGTGGGCAGCAGCGGCACCTACGTGGCCGAGCCCGCCTCGACGTTGACCAGCGGGGCCGCGCTGCAGGTGGTGGGGGCGGGTGCTGGGTCCACGAGCCGCAGCACGTCCCCGCGCCATGCCATGGGCGGCAGTGGCGGGGCGCCGCCCCCGCGGGGCTCTCTCTCGCGCAGCAGCAGCGGCAGCAGCAAGCGACCACAGAGCGGAGCGGGGCTCGAGCAGCGGGCGCGCTACGTGGCGCAGCTGTGCCAGGAGAAGCCCGAGCTGGTGAAGCTCAACATCGGGGGCACCCGTTACACCACCACCAAGGCCACCCTCACCCGCCTCGAGGACTCCTTCTTCAAGGCCCTCCTGGTACCACGACCGCTCCTCCTAGGACCCCCCCCTCTCTTTCTTTCCCCGCCGCACGCACCCCACGCACTACACACCACACACCGCACACAACACACATGTTTTAGAGAGGGGGGGGGGAAACAAAGGAAAGGCACGCCAGTGGCGTTGACCCGTGGCATGCGTGCGCGTGCGCGTTGCAGGACGGGGACATTCCGAGCACGTTGGACGACCAGGGCGCCTACTTCATCGACCGGTGCACGTCCTCTTCCCCCCCCTCTCCATTTGAGCCGCATCTCACCCGTTAATATGCGCGCTGATCCCCTGCGTGTGCGGTGGTGGTGCGTGTTGTGTGCAACTCAGGGAGGGCCGCTACTTTGAGCCAATCTTGAACTACATGCGCACGGGGGAGCTGCTCATCCCACCGTCCATGCCCAAGTCGGCCGTGCTGGCCGAAGCCGACTTCTATTGCATCACGCCCGGTGCGCCTTGCCTCCCCTTCCAACGCGCCTGTTGTTTTGCCGTGCACCATGCGTATGGCCGCGAGCGGGCTGGTGACTGACAACCCACCCACCCATCCGTGTGTTGTGTGTCGTGGTTGTGTGTGTCGTGGTTGTGTGTCGTGGTCGTGGTCGTGTGCGCCTGCAGTGGTGGCGAGCCTGCAGCTCGAGGAGAGTGACGCGTGCGGGGGCAAGTTGTTCAACGCCCTCCTCCGCCCGTGGGATGACGTCAACCCGGTCACCTTCCTCCTGTCCATGGAGAACCACCTCCTCGCCACCTTCAAGGACGGATCAATCGAGGGATGGAGCTTCCAGGCACGGGCTCGAATACCCCCCGCCCCCAATGCTTCTTGGCCACCCAGCGACACCCTTAACGCGTGGTGTGTGTGTGTCACATGTCATGCGTGTGTATGTCGTGTGTCGTGTGTGTCGTTGGTCGTGTCGTTGGTCGTGTGCTCAGGTGGGCGACGGATGGACGCAGGACTTCAAGGCTGAGTTTCCCGTGGCGACGGAAGGCGACATTGAACACGTGGCGTTCTTCTCGCAGGGCTCTCGGTGGTTCCTCGCCGTATTCGCCCACAAGGCACACACCTCCTCCACCTCCTCCCCCCCTTTTTTGCATCCA